CACCGAGCGCATACCCAAAACACCCCCCCAACCCAGCCATAATTGTAAATGTTGACAAGGCATGAGCGTGTTCTTCCGGGACACAAACATCCAACAAATAAGCTCTTGAAGGTGTTTGGCAATTATCAGCATTGAAGTCTAAGAGCAAAGTTCCGAGAACTGTGAAGAAAATCGCGTAGAAGAATCCGCTCGATTTGGTCTCAGCATTGACTGTTTTGTACTCAAATTTCGAAGGATCATCGTTGGTGATGTTGGAAATATTTGCACCATTACCAACATCACCAAGAAACGCTCCAATGTCACGACCCCAAGGCGCAAGAATTAAGCCAAGAATGAGGCCAATCGAAAGCACAACTATCAACGGTCTCCTTCTGCCGAACCTACTGCCACATCGATCACTGATTGATCCGAGGATCGGTGACACAAAGAATGCTATGAGTGGACTTAACGCCCACACCATTGTCATATGTTTGTGTTCAATTCCAATCGATAAGAGAATCGGCGACACAAACGCAGTCTCTGCACTGTAAGCAAATTCGATTCCACATATTATCAACGATAATCTTATGAGCTCCAGACGAGTTTTTTTCCTTAAATTTTTATAAAAATCTTCAGTTAAATGACGCAGTTTATTAATAAATCACTGCTTACCGAAACACATGAGAGTAATCGTGTTCTAATCGCTTAGCATGTTGATATCTCTCATGCAGCATTCGTTGCCTTATCGGATTGTTCTCCAACACACTTTTCCTTCGCTTGCTAAGAGCTCTAACCATCTTTGTATATTCGTTTGTTTTATTTCTACCAAACTTTTGCTGAATAAATTTCTCTGAAAACAAGTTTGAAAGAGATAAAGTAAGAAAGTTTACAAAGAATGTGCAGAATCGTTAAGAATCTTTAGCCGAATGTTGTTCTTAATGCATTCCGATGCAAACTATTCTTGTTTAAAAACATTCTTGACTTATATATTTTAATTTTTCAACAGTTCTGCATTATGTAAAAGAGGGAAAGATACACACAAGTTCCAAGAGTCAAAGCCTATAAGATTCACGGCACAATCTCACTGATAAGTTGGCCGTCTTTTGTGCATTAAATTGTCTCACAATGAACTTGACATTTGAAAGCATTCAAAAGAATTTAAGTGTGAATATTCGAAAGCAACTTCTTGTTCATAATCATGAAATATGATTTCATGTGGAACAGATCTGGAAACCTAATTCAAAGATTTATGAGAATGATTTATTGTAACTTTAAAGATTGCATTCGTTGTCGTTGTTGAAATCATTTATAAGGAGTTTGGAATTCAAACTGAACTTCAGGAAAATAAACTTTAGAAGCACAATGTGGATGGCATTGCAATACAACTTTCTCACTGAGCAGAACTTCCAAAAAATAATCATTGTTAAAAATTTACGAGCAATGTCGCTTTTGACAAATGGCTGATAATTTAAATGAACTTTATTAATATTTTATTTACTTTTAATAAGCACTGATTTTACATTTCTCGAAAACAATCAATCTACAACAATATTTCAGTGAAAACTTTTATTTTTATTATTCGAATGTTATTTATTGCTGTTCCGTGTAATTAAGGTGCGATCGGAATTGCAATTGAGAACACTTTGTACTTCTAATTTGTTTTGTATTTAGAAACATCGATGATCAATATAGAGAGAAACCTTTTAAATGAGATAAATCAACTTTTTTCTCATTTCTATTTCAAGGCACTTTCAAAGTTCAAAATTCTTATTTCGCTAAGAAAATCATTGCAAAATTTCTTAAAAGTAAACTTTAAATTTTCCTAATCATCGCGAAGTTCTATTTTTTGTTAATTGTTTACTCTCTCGTTCAGAGATAAGATTAGAACGTGTTGAAAGCATGGACGGGAACAATAATAAAGGAAAAAAGATTCAAATGTTTTGGCATGATAGCAACACAGCTGATTCAAACTTTTGTTAATGAATGAAACGAGAATTGAATCGAGAGATTTCTCAGTTCAAAAGTCTTACTCTGTTTGAAAGTATTTAATCGTTCACTTTAGAGATAAAGTTCATAAAAAGCGGAACTTTACAATAAATTCACTTTCTAACCACAGCTCAGCATTGAATGAACACGCCAGTTTGATATTTCATCAATGAATTTCTTGCAAAAATCGACATCTGTTACCTTGTCTGTATAAAAGAGTTGACGACATTTTGTCTGAACGTTTTGATATCAAAACAATAATAAAACTAACGACACTCTTTGACTCGCGACGAGTATAAAAATAAAAAAATAATAGAATAACGCTACAGTCGAAGTGTTTTGCTTGATAACCAAACAAAAACTGAATTACAAGTAAATTTGAGAGTTATGCGGAATGAAATATCCCCATTGTGAGAGTCAACGAGAAAAATTGTTTGGTTTCTTAATAATTATTATCAACAACAAGAAGAAAATTGAGTAGTGAGAGAAAAATTTCTTTTAAATGATGCTTCGTCATTCCATTTAAATGGAATCTGGAAAACTTCAAATAAAAATTTACATTTTTCGTTCAATTTTGATAACAATTTGTAATCATTCGGACTTCTTCAAACCTTGACCTTACCACGTGCCAGAAACTTTCATAAGAGTTTAAAAATGTTTGATGATTCATCATAGGAAAACACGTTGAACAAAATTTTTCTTGTTCAAATTTAACAACGCAACGTGACAAGTTACATTAGCTCATGGCGGTAAAAAAAATTGTCGTGGTGTAGCTTAAATGACCCTATCGAGTCAAGCTTCTAATCAGTGGAGACAAAATTAGATCAAGACCAATAAATGTTCGATTATCAGTTAGAAAGATAGACGCACATTTCAATACTTTCATTCTTTATGATAACTAACAACTTTTATTAAAAAATAGTTTTCCACATTTGTCATGTTTTAATTCCAATATTTTTCAATGTTTTAAATATTTTTGATGGCTAAAAATAATTAACTTAAATATTATTAGCAGCTATAAATGATTACGAAATACTTTTGTTTTACTTTTTTATACTCTTCATAACTTTCTTGGTAGTTAAAAACGAATCGTGTTATTCTTACACGACCTGAGTATGAAAAATGTAGAGAATTAAAAAAGCAATGTGATGATAATTAGCAGACATGAATAAATTATTTATACAATTTTTTATGATGAAATTTCTCAATTTAGAACAAAATTTTCTATCATAAATCAAGATTATTTAACTTAAGTGAGGTTTCAAGATCATTCTAAATACCAGACTTTCTCAGATCTATCTCTGCTTTATCTTAAAGATGATTTGACAGAAATATTTTGAGTCAAAGCATCTCAATTACTTTATTAACTATTTAATGATTTTTTCCTGGAAAACAAAGAAATGATTCTGTGACTTTTTATTAAAACTAAACTTCAGCCAACTGTTGTTAGTATAAAATAGAAAAAATCTGAAGAACGGTAGTATTACGTCTCACATCATATTAAATGAACATGATGAATTTATTAAGAATATCTAAGCCACATGCAATAACTTGTGAGTCAATTCATCTTAAACTTATTTTACATTATGAAGTTCACGTGTTAAGCTCAATGAATTTCTTTCTTCGTTACTCAAATCTTGATAAAAATAATCAACAAATTTACGCTTCAATATGTGTTGATCATAAATGCAATAATTAATAACTTTTTTGCTTATACTCACAGAGACTTTGAAAAGGTTGAGTATTAATGAAATTGTTTCAATTGTATGACATTATAAGCGAAATGTCTTCAAATAAAAACTGCTTTTCGCAGCATTTTTCTACATGCATATAAATGCTACTTAAAAGAAGAGGAAATAATGAGAAGTGACATGGAATTTCAAGATATTTATTCTATAAGTAAGTTAACGGGACAATACTTACTCACATTGGTCAGCCTAACGAAGAACTGAATTATTAAACTGAGTTTCTTGATGTTTTTCAACAGCATATTTGCTTAAATTCACTTTTAACCACTTAAACATCAAAACAAGAAACGGCTTGATAAATTCTTTTTCTGACCACAGTATTGTGATTATATCTGCTAAATAAAAACTTTATTTAATTTTCCACAAACCACGAAAACTTAATCTCATTAATTATCATCAGCACACCTTAAATCGTAATTCAGTCATCAGTTGACAAGAAGCCAAAATATAAAACAAAAAAACTCGCTCATCTTTCACCACTAATATTTTGTCATTTTGTATTAAATAATCCGAATAATCTATCTAATGATTTAATGCGCCACGTCCTTATCACAATACTCGATGCAAATAATGAAACTTCCCAGCTGTTTCGTTTGCGAGCGGAAAAATGTTTGCAACGGGTCGGAAAGAATACACTCGAAAAAGTAATTTTGTTTTCAATTTCACTGCTTCTTCAAGTTGTATTTTGTACGAGTAATATTATAGAAGTAAGTCAGACATGTTAAATGACATATTCTTCAAAACAGTTAATTTTAATCAAACTAATATAAAACGTTTCATTCAGTAATTAAACAAGAATTTTAAACGTTATGTAACATTAACAATTTCATTCCTTGTCTACTCATCGATTAACAAACCTGGAACGAAATATGGAAAATTAATGAGACAAACTCTCACTCTCATTCCTTATTTCATTTATTTATACAATCGATTATCACTTCTTAATATTTGAGCATTTTTTTACAGCATCTTATCACTTACTTTTTAGCGTTTTAATGATCTCGGCAAAACAAAACTGCAACATCTTCAAAACAAACGACAAAGTTTTTATTTATCAGCAAAAACAAATTAAACAGACAAACAACGATTCAAGTTCGTTCGATGTGTACTCGTGAATGTCTGGCAGAGAAATAAATATTCTATCGAATCGATCTTAGGTAAATAAAATTCAGTTTATTTTTATCTCCTTTATCTGTTAAAGATCAGCACAATTAAATTAGTTGGTTGAAATTTACATAGTTTATTATGCAATTTCCAATTCCGCATATAGATAAAAGAAGAATACGTGACAATGCCATATTTAAACTTAATTCTTTCAAATTGCTTAATATTTGCATCTGATTATTGGAGATTCTTAGCGTTCACGTGATGCGGTGTTGATATTCTTCTTTTAACAACTTGTTGATTTACTTACCACATGCAACAAGTGTTATAAACTGAGGTCATTTGCATTGAATACATATATGAGAAGCATAAATTTGAGAATGCGGAATGCTTGACATAAATTGTTTTGACACTCGATTAAAGATAATCGGAAAATGAAAAACGGTTTTTAAGAACTCATAAAAACATTTATTAAAAATTAAGAATTAAAAAAAGTTAAAACAATTAAAATTAATCTAAGACGTCCATGTAAACAACATAACAGCCACTAATCGCTGCAAGTAAGCTGAAAAAGCTGGTGGCGTAAAGCACTGCCGACACTGATCCTACAAGATTGATGAATGACCCAATAGACAGTGAAATTGTGAATTGTGCAACAAATAACATTGACCCAACAATTCCACAATCAGTTCCAAGGCCACGTTCAAACTCCACAGTAGTCTCACCTTTCTCAGCACTATTATCAGGTCGTTCAACCTTCAATGTTCCTTTTCCATGGTATTGTGCAACCAACAGAAAAGGAATTGTGAACAATGTGCTATAAACAATGCCAGAGACTGTTGAGAAAAAGAGAACTCCGATTTTTGTTGGATAATAACCTGAGATGAATAAATGAAATTTCTGATAAATAAAAATATAAAGAAACATTTTTATTTTGGGTTTTCCTTACCCAAAATTGCCATTGAAATTGAGAAACTTAACATCGCACCAACAAAAATTTTCTTTGCTGTAAATCGTTTGATCATTCTTTCAATTATCATTGAATAAAAAGCACATGAGAGAGAGTCAAGTGCCAGTCCCCAACATCCGAATCTAATTCCTGCATCGTAAAGCTATTGAGGGAATAAATGAGAAAAATCTTTGACTGCACTTTAACATACTTTATATTCTGGAGAATCTACAGATGCACTCGGATCTCCACCATACACTGCTTCACCCACAAAGTCAGTAAAATAAAATAAATAAGGGATTTGACCCATCCAACTAAACAAGTTCGTCAAACATAAAATTCTGAGTGCCTTTGGCATGAAAATTATTGATTTCAGGTACATCATAAGCGTGATTGATTCATCAGGTTCGTCTTCATCGTCATCGGAACTGCTGATTGAAATACTGCTTAAATTTGGATCACTTTTGTTGTTACTTGTCGAGCTTATCGTGGCTCCATTTTCTATGACTTTTGAAACTTTGTTTATGCTTTCAAGTGCTTTGAGTCTTTCTTTCTCTTTCTTAACAGCAACTTGAGTCACTGGTTTCAGCATTTCATCAGACTCAATTAATTTCAGAGGAATTTCCCGAAAGCTGGTCACAGTGAACAGCATGGCAACGATGAAAATTAAAGTCACGAGTGTGAAAACTGTTTTAATGTTATCACCGATTAAATTNATAAAATAAAATTTAATTAATTTTTCTCACCTAAAATTGCCATCGCAACCGAGAAGTTCAACATCGCACCAACAAAAACTTTCTTTGCTGTAAATCGTTTGATCATTCTTTCAATTATCATTGAATAAAATGCGCAAGAGAGAGCGTAAACTGCCAGTCCCCAACATCCAAATCTAATGCCTGCATCGTAAAGCTATTGAGGGAATTAAAATAATTCTTAGGCGAATCTTCAATTTGTTGAACTTACCTCGTATTCTGGAGAATTCATATTAGCAGCCGGATCCCCACCAAACACAGTTTCACCAACAAAGTCAGTGAAATAAAGACAATACGGAATCTGACCCATCCAACTAAACAAGTTCGTCAAACATAAAATTCTGAGAGCCTTTGGCATGAAAATTATTGATTTCAGGTACATCATAAGCGTGATTGATTCATCAGGTTCGTCTTCATCGTCATCGGAACTGCTGATTGAAATGCTGCTTAAATTTGGATCACTTTTGTTGTTACTTGTCGAGCTTATCGTGGCTCCATTTTCTATGACTTTGTTTATGCTTTCAAGTGCTTTGAGTCTTTCTTTCTCTTTCTTAACAGCAACTTGAGTCACTGGTTTCAGCATTTCATCAGACTCAATTAATTTCAGAGGAATTTCCCGAAAGCTGGTCACAGTGAACAGCATGGCAACGATGAAAATTAAAGTCACGAGTGTGAAAACTGTTTTAATGTTATCACCGATTAAATTTGCGAAAATTGTTGTATCCCAATTAATGGCACCGATTGCATATCCTAAGCAACTTCCCAAACCTGCCATAATTGTAAAAGTTGACAAGGCATGAGCGTGTTCTTCCGGGACACAAACATCCAACAAATAAGCTCTTGAAGGTGTTTGGCAATTATCAGCATTGAAGTCTAAGAGCAAAGTTCCGAGAACTGTGAAGAAAATCGCGTAGAAGAATCCGCTCGATTTGGTCTCAGCATTGACTGTTTTGTACTCAAATTTCGAAGGATCATCGTTGGTAATGTTGGAAATATTTGCACCATTACCAACATCACCAAGAAACGCTCCAATGTCACGACCCCAAGGCGCAAGAATTAAGCCAAGAATGAGGCCAATCGAAAGCACAACTATCAACGGTCTCCTTCTGCCGAACCTACTGCCACATCGATCACTGATTGATCCGAGGATCGGTGACACAAAGAATGCTATGAGTGGACTTAACGCCCACACCATTGTCATATGTTTGTGTTCAATTCCAATCGATAAGAGAATCGGCGACACAAACGCAGTCTCTGCACTGTAAGCAAATTCGATTCCACATATTATCAACGATAATCTTATGAGCTCCAGACGAGTTTTTTTCCTTAAATTTTTATAAAAATCTTCAGTTAAATGACGCAGTTTATTAATAAATCACTGCTTACCGAAACACATGAGAGTAATCGTGTTCTAATCGCTTAGCATGTTGATATCTCTCATGCAGCATTCGTTGCCTTATCGGATTGTTCTCCAACACACTTTTCCTTCGCTTGCTAAGAGCTCTAACCATCTTTGTATATTCGTTTGTCTTATTTCTACCAAACTTTTGCTGAATAAATTTCTCTGAAAACAAGTTTGAAAGAGATAAAGTAAGAAAGTTTACAAAGAATGTGCAGAATCGTTAAGAATCTTTAGCCGAATGTTGTTCTTAATGCATTCCGATGCAAACTATTCTTGTTTAAAAACATTCTTGACTTATATATTTTAATTTTTCAACAGTTCTGCATTATGTAAAGAGGGAAAGTTCCAAGAGTCAATNCAGAGACTGTTGAGAAAAAGAGAACTCCGATTTTTGTTGGATAATAACCTGAGATGAATAAATGAAATTTCTGATAAATAAAAATATAAAGAAACATTTTTATTTTGGGTTTTCCTTACCCAAAATTGCCATTGAAATTGAGAAACTTAACATCGCACCAACAAAAATTTTCTTTGCTGTAAATCGTTTGATCATTCTTTCAATTATCATTGAATAAAAAGCACATGAGAGAGAGTCAAGTGCCAGTCCCCAACATCCGAATCTAATTCCTGCATCGTAAAGCTGTTGAGGGAATAAATGAGAAAAATCTTTGACTGCACTTTAACATACTTTATATTCTGGAGAATCTACAGATGCACTCGGATCTCCACCATACACTGCTTCACCCACAAAGTCAGTAAAATAAAATAAATAAGGGATTTGACCCATCCAACTAAACAAGTTCGTCAAACATAAAATTCTGAGTGCCTTTGGCATGAAAATTATTGATTTCAGGTACATCATAAGCGTGATTGATTCATCAGGTTCGTCTTCATCGTCATCGGAACTGCTGATTGAAATACTGCTTAAATTTGGATCACTTTTGTTGTTACTTGTCGAGCTTATCGTGGCTCCATTTTCTATGACTTTTGAAACTTTGTTTATGCTTTCAAGTGCTTTGAGTCTTTCTTTCTCTTTCTTAACAGCAACTTGAGTCACTGGTTTCAGCATTTCATCAGACTCAATTAATTTCAGAGGAATTTCCCGAAAGCTGGTCACAGTGAACAGCATGGCAATGATGAAAATGATTGTCGTGAGTGTGAAAACTGTTTTAATGTTATCACCGATAAAATTTGCGAAAATTGTTGTATCCCAATTAATGGCACCGAGCGCATATCCCAAACAACCACCCAAACCAGCCATAATTGTAAATGTTGACAAGGCATGAGCGTGTTCTTCCGGGACACAAACATCCAACAAATAAGCTCTTGAAGGTGTTTGGCAATTATCAGCATTGAAGTCTAAGAGCAAAGTTCCGAGAACTGTGAAGAAAATCGCGTAGAAGAATCCGCTCGATTTGGTCTCAGCATTGACTGTTTTGTACTCAAATTTCGAAGGATCATTGTTGGTGATGTTGGAAATATTTGCACCATTACCAACATCACCAAGAAACGCTCCAATGTCACGACCCCATGGTGCAAGAATTAAGCCAAGAATGAGGCCAATCGAAAGCACAACTATCAACGGTCTCCTTCTGCCGAACCTACTGCCACATCGATCACTGATTGATCCGAGGATCGGTGACACAAAGAATGCTATGAGTGGACTTAACGCCCACACCATTGTCATATGTTTGTGTTCAATTCCAATCGATAAGAGAATCGGCGACACAAACGCAGTCTCTGCACTATAAGCAAATTCGATTCCACATATTATCAACGATAATCTTATGAGCTCCAGACGAGTTTTTTTCCTTAAATTTTTATAAAAATCTTCAGTTAAATGACGCAGTTTATTTAATAAATAAATAATTTCTTACCGAAACACATGAGAGTAATCATGTTCTAATCGCTTGGCATGTTGATATCTCTCATGCAGCATTCGTTGCCTTATCGGATCTTTTTCCAACTTACTTTTTCTTCGTTTATTGACAATTTTAACCATCTTTGTGTATTCTGTTGTCTTCTTTTTACTAAGTTTCTGTTGAATGAATATTTCTGAAAAATTGTTTGAAAACAAACATAAAAACAATGAAAACTTTAAGATGCAAATTGTTTACATCGACGGTTAATTACTTTGAGATCTGAATCAATACAGAATGTCTGTTAATGACGTTATTATAAATAATATAAGTTTAATTTCTCTTATGATACTTAGCAGCTAGTTAATGTTAATCAATTTGATTCGGTGTTTTACAGCAGACTAATGCTTTTTTCAAAAATCTTTTCTTTTTTTTATCAATTTCAGGTTTTAAATCGCTACGAATTCTAATACAAAGAACAAATATAGATACGCGACATATTTATGTAAATGACGAATGCCAAAGCCCAGCAAGAATCTCCAAGAAGATATTTCCCTCAGTTTATTTTTGAAACCCGATAAAAGTATCATTGATTCGATGATGACCTGTCGTTTATTGATTATTTAGTGATTCATGAAGATATGTAAAGTCATGAATCATCTTGAAGCCAAAAATAATGTAAATAAACAAAACATCTTGAGAAGTTTATGTGTGTATATATATTCACTATATCTGACAATGCAAGTTGAATATTATCTTTTTTAATCAGGAAGTGATGAAACACTGAAAGAGTTTCATTCGCATCAAAAACTTTAATAAAAAAACTAGTCAAATAATAAAATTTTGGAGACTGGATATTTGTTGAAGATACTGCATACGAATCAGCTGTAGTTGCTGTGATATTATAAAGCGTAAAATAAACGAAAGAATCATTTACAATAATTGTTTAAACAAAAAAGAAAAGACTTGAATGAAATGTCTGAGAACAAAAATGCAATTTAAAAAAGCTTCTAAGTGCTAATGAATCTTTTGTTAATTCAACTGTCAAATGGAATTAATTATAATAACTAATGATACAAAGGTAGGTAAATAATAGAATGGTTTTCAAAGAGAATCTTTAGGACAATACTCACTCACATTGGTCAGCATGTTGAAGAATTGTATGAAGAAGCTGGGCTTCTTGAAGTTTTTATACACCATTTTTACTTAAAATTACTTTTAACACAACAACAAACAAAGAAGTTTGAAACAAGATATTTTTTTTCTTTTGGATGATTCTTATTTGACACTACAAAATAGATTTTTATTTAATTTTCCACTAAATTTCGTTTAATATTCTCATTTATCTTTCTCATCAATTGTCACAAGCACACCTTGAACCACGATTTACTGAATTAGTCGAAAATGTTTACAATTTAAAACCACGTTCGTCATTTACGAATTTTTAATCAAACTGAAATCTTATTTGGCACGAATGAAGTGGAAGTGATGCATTCGTTTCTTCTTTGTTACACAGAATTTTGAATTCTATTGTTTTTTTGAAAAGAAATTTGATAGTAAATTTTAACGTTTCAACAATTTCATCAGATAACTTTTGATATTTTTATAAGAAAGTTTACAGAAATCAAACAACAGCACTACTTAAATTAAAAAAGTAAATTTAAAGTTTAACAGAAAACCACAAAACAAATAGCAATGCGAAGTTCAAGAATTGCGCGATCGTGAATGTCTGATCGCGAAATATTTTCATCGATGCTTTTTATGCCTTGCCAAATCTTTGTTGAGGCTGTCGCAACTTAGTATAAAGATTTTTTATGTGTCTTGAAAATTTCAAAGGCGATCTGTAGAATATCATTGTGAACTGTTATTTTTAATCATTTTAAGCTTTAAAACAAAACATCAGAAAACTTAATTTTAGGAACTGTAGTTTGGTTTAATAATTTTTAAGATTCAGAATGGAAGTAAAGATTTCCAAAATTAATTTTTATATGATAAATAATCGATTCTAAGCCCTGAAAAATCTTACGATTAGGTCTACTGTGTTACAAAGAAATTTACGAAGAAATGCGTAGAGAAAAAAATCATCAAACAGGATAAGAAAGAACAAGCAATAAATAAGAAGTTGGTTTTCACACTTTCACACTCAACTCGTCCGTGGTTATGCAAAATTCTTAATTCAAGATAAGACTTAAATATAAAATATGACAGCTCTTAGTATTCTTTATAGACGTCCCTTAGATATGTTCTTTATTTATTCTCGAAAATATTTTGTTTCTTATACTGCTCAATGATTTATTCTTGCTCATTTTTATTTCTGCTGGTTCATTATTTATATGAAATAGTAAAATTAAATTATCGAAAATCATTTGTTTTAAATGATCTAAAATTAACATTTGGTTATTCAATATTCTAATCATCACGAGATCTCATCTTGCCTTCCTATCGCTGTTCTTTTCTCATTTTAAGAATCTATCGTCTTCATTAACAACACTAAACAGTCGACTGAAAAGAATATACGGCATGTGTAAAGGAATCATTAACCAGTTTTATGCTAAATGTGTAGAATCAAGCGTAGATTATAATAAATTACACACGATTCGTAGTAGATAGTCTTGCATCATTCATCTTGATCTATTCGTTGTTCTAAACTATTCAATTGACTCGATTTTGCTGGCAACTCCCTCCTGTTGATAAATATGTGAGTACAAAGTTTAATTCTTTTCAAAAACGTTTTGTTTATTTGGTTTTAAATTTCATGACATTTTACCCAAAAATCTTTTTATTTTCGTTTCAGGTTTTTAACCTTTTAAATTTTTATTCTTTTTTCTTTAGTTGAAAGAATCAAGAAAAGATTTTTGTGTTCCGTATTAAATTTATTTCATTCAAACTTCTTCAAAAATAAAATAAATCAGATTTTGGGTTTCAAAACATAACTTAGGTCATTGATCAAACCAAAGGATCCGGTTCCAGTCTTACATGGCTGACCAACCATCAGACAAGATGACGGTGAGTTGATGCTGTCAACACGACCTTCCACAACTGCAGTCTTTAAGAATTGTAAAGCTGACTCAAAAGAAATTTGTTGTAGTGGAGATGCTGATGATTCAATTCCTTTACGATTAAGTGGCTTAAAAGTTCCATCAAATGTCATATAATCAGAAATCAAAGACAAATGTCTAGGATCAACTGTAATTCCATAAACTCTGAAGACATTTTGAACTTCTTTAACGATCACTTGAGCAGCTGCTTCAATTCCATATGTGTTTGCTACGGCATGAATATCATTGGTATATAGTTTGTTAAGATTAAGTATCTTATCATATTCAAACATTGCCTGTTAAGGAATAATTGGAAAATAAATATAATATATTATCAGAACTTAACAATTACGTAAAAGCTTTAGTTGCGGTATGACGTAACGTAAGAACGTGGTAACTCATATCTTACGCTGCGTTAAAACGTAAACTATATCAACTTACGCCGATATTAATGCCATCAGTTGTGACCACCAGAACATCTTTTTGTTTATGAGTGAAAGCTCGTTTGATCTTTGGAATCTCCCATATGATTGCTTGCTTTGCTTGCTGCTTTAAAATGTTTGTCATGTCTATACTCTTGAATCTTATTGGGCACTCAAACTTTATCAGACACCAGCGATATTTTTCCTTGTCAATGACGTAATCTTTCACTGCCATTCCACTTCCATAAGCTGTAATTTTTTTCGTAAGCAATTGTATAATTTCAGCTTCACCTTCTGCATCTTCTAATGCTTCTTCCTCCTTTCTTTCAATCTCTGCTAATTGTTCATCGTCAGCATTGTTTGGTACAATTTCTTTCTTCAATTGTTGAATATCAAATTCTTCATCAACTTCCAATTTTACATTCGTCAAATCAAGTTCATCGTCATCATCATCAGATTCATTTGCTATGTCTTTCTTCTCTTCATCACTTTCTGGTTCTTCATAGTCTTTCTCATCTAATTGTCGAGCTTTTTTCCGTTCGTCTGTTGCATCAGCATCATCAGGCTGTTAAAAAAGAAGAGAAATGTTCATTAATTAAACCTTTAGAATATTTAAAATATTGACTTTTAAGTGTTAATAATGCCAATGAGTCGGAGAATGAAAGAAATTCTATTCAGAACTCACCAAATCTTCTTCATCGGACGATGAACCTTTATCATCAGAATCTTTAACGCCTTCGTTCTTCGGACCAGGATCATCATCTCTATCATCTTCATTATCATTCGACTTCTTCGCTTTCTTCAATTCTTTTTCTTCTTTATCCACAAACGTCACAACATCTCTTGACGCTTTTTCAATTGCTTTCAACATTCTTAACAAAAAGCATTCATGCATGAATTTTATAATCATTTTTGGCTTCACCATAAATTGATTCTTATAATTATCGTAGGGAAGAAAAGAGAAGTGAATTTCATAATTTCTTGCACGTGAAGGTTTTAAAGTTATCCATGACTTCACGATTACCTTCTCCAACACATCAGCAACTGTAACTTGATTCAATCGAACTCTGAACTTCTCAGCTGTTTTTTGTAAAGTCTCTGACGATTGATTGAGAAAAGGAATTTCCATTGACGGTGTTTTGATATTTGCCGAAGCCATCATGAGAATCTCACGTAATCGAGGAATACCTAAAGTCACATTCATATCTCCACGACCAGCGAAATGGAAAGTGTTCAATGTCATCTGCGTTGAAGGTTCACCAATTGATTGTGCAGCAATTAAACCAACAGGTTCACCAGGATCAGCGAGACTTCGAAGACTTTTTATACTCAACATATCACGAACTTCTGCTTCGTTGCATTCACTTGACTTTAGAAATTTCTCAAGAATCTCTTCCGTATATTCCGAAAGTGAGGCAAAGTAACGATTTGGTGGAAATTTCGATGTGACTGTCATCGGACATTTCTTCATTAAACGTTTCTCACTTCTCATCGGTCTTTGTGTTGCACTTTCATGTCGCTTCTTGTACGTCCGAATTTTCTTCATAATTTGCTTTATTTTAATGTCAACTTCCGGTGAATTTCTTAAACTTGCTAGAACATCATCATCAACAATCACATTACGATTCTCTTGAAGAAATGGTAATTGTTTTAACTTTAAAAATTGTGATTTTAAGATATCCATTCCATCTTCGCCATACATAAATTGAATCACTGTATCATCACTGTCTCTGACTGTTCCATCATATGACACGGTAAGTCCTTCTAAATGTTTAATGAGACATCGCTGAAGATAACCAGAACGACTTGTCTTTACAGCTGTATCAATTAAACCTTCACGACCAGCCATACAATGAAAGAAGAAATCTTGTGGTTGTATTCCTGTCATAAATCGACCATCAATAAATCCACCAGATTTTGGTGAACATTCAAACATTGGAAAACTCGGCAATGATCGTCCCGAAATCATCAAAGGTGGACGTTTTCCTTCTAACTCAATTTGTCCAAGAAGACATGAAATCTGCATAGTGTTAACAGTCGATCCTTTAGCACCTGACGTGACCATCAACTGAAGATTATTTTCGGGAAATTTACTTAACAATCCAGCTGGCAAACATGTTTTGTTGATATCATTTGTAAATGAATCCATTGTTGATTTGTATTTGCGATCCAAAATAGCTCGGAACTTTGGATCCTTTGCATAAGCTTTTTCAAGATGTTCCACAAGTTCATCATCTTTCGTATCTTCAGGAATGTCAAGAGCTTGACATGTCGCTTTCTTACCAATTTTCCGACTATCTTTGACAATTTTCGCTCGTTTTTTGTCAGCTTTTTCCAGCACTAAAATGTCATGAACGCCAAGAGTGAAACCTTCCCATTGAAGGAAGAAAGTGAAAACTTTAGAAAATGATGAAAGAAGTTGAGTTGACACTCCACCACCATACAGCTCGTAAATGCAATGAATTAAACTGTAAGGTGTCGCACCATAATGATTCTTATCGAGAACACCAACAAGTAACTCTCCACATCTTATAATCACTTCCGATTCTGTCATTTCATTGCCTTCAAGTTCACAACCGCCAGCTTTCCATTCACGTCGTTCCATTGATTGCCAAGCATTTGAACCAATTTTTGCAGTTGATGTTAAATTAATTGGATGTTTATCCTTAGGAATTATATTAAGAACAAGCGTTGAAAAGACTTGTTTTCCACTCCAAAGTTTAACAGGTTTTAAAATCGTCGGTGGTAACAATTTAATGTCTTCACATTTATGATTTAATCCTTGAAACACCAACTGATGATAATCATCTTTGCTAAAGAATCGTCCACGCATTGACATCTTCACACCGGATATGACATGATCTTGAATCAATCCACCAAGTGGCGTTCCATCTTTAGGCACAAGATAATTATTTTCAACGTTTACGAGATTATAAGCTTCACTTCTTCCAACTTCATTCTGTGGTAAATGTGCATTCATTTCATCACCATCAAAATCAGCATTGTATGATTTACAATTCGAGTAATGCAAACGAAAAGTTTTCTCATTCTTCAATATTCTTGCTTTATGTGCCATGATTGAAGGTTTGTGAAGTGTCGGTTGACGATTAAGTAGTAAAATGTCTCCATTAATCAAATGACGATGAACGATTTTAATTCCATCTTTACGTTCAGGTTTGAAGAGTGTATCAGCCATCGCTTCTCTTTTACTTTCATCTTTCGACACAGCTTGTTTAAAGCCAGTACCAGATTCAATGTAAACAGCACCCGGATGAATGTTTGGTCCATTGAGAACCATTTTTCTAAGGAGAGAAACATTCCATGGTGTAACTGGAACTGGATAAGTCAATTTCAATGCAAATGCTTCAGGAACACCAATTTGATCAATGTTGATGTTTGGATCGGGAGTGATGACAGTTCGAGCAGCGAAATTGACACGCTTTCCCATCATATTCATTCTAATTAAGCCTTCTTTCCTTTCAATCAGTTGTTTGAGTCCAGAAATGTCGTTATTCTGACGATTATTGGCCAACGTCTTGTCAAGCGTCATATCAACAGCATTTTGAAGTTCTTCCCATTTAAAATAAATCTTCTCTTGTGCACTGTCACCACGAGCTGCTTTGTACATATTTTCAGCTTCTTGTCGAATTGCATTCGTTGTGAAAATGTCGTCTTCATCAGATTTCTTCAAAGCGAGAATAAATCTCAGTTGGTTATTTGCTTGAACAACATTGAAATATGTTTTCGTTTGTGGATGTTCAATTAATTTGTTACGAATGCGGTTTGGTGGTCGGAAAATTGGTGGAACAACAGGAACAACATCCATGAAGAAAATATTGTAGTCATCGTTGCCAGCACTTTTCAAAACAGGATAAAGAATTCTTAAAAAATCACCATCATGTTCGAATATTTCTTTCATATATTCACGACACTCACTGGCGATGATTGTTTTCGTTGTTGTTTTTGGAGTGTCATCTGGAACATTTTCATCTTTGTTAGTAGTAGTTTTAGGAACAGAAACCACAAACTTTTTATAAGAGTAACGAATTCGTTTCCATGGCCTTTGACAGTGAATACAACGATGTGACATTAAAGTGGTCACTGAAGCGATGGTACTGTTGATAATTGATAATCTGATAGCTTCCGAATTCTTTGTCCTGTTATAATGATTTACTGGATCATTTTCAAGTAGCTTGTTATATTTTTTAATCAATTTCCTATAATTTTTATCATTTCTTTCTTTTGAAGCTAAAAAGTTCTCTGAATCTTTATCTTGTTTCTTCTCAGATGTCTTGTTCTCTGTCATCAGAGTAGGGAAAGCACTCTTGTAAGTTTTGTTATAAATGTAAATAATTTTCTGATCTTCTAAATCTTGAGCTTCAATTACATAACCAGCATCGATCAACATCAATTGCAGTGTAACAATCTCCTTCATACGTTCTAGAATTTCAAAACATTAATGAGTATTGGAGATGGAAATTTTGAAATTTCTTCTTCTTCTCACCTGTAAATTGAAGTTTCTTGCAATGTAAACATATTGATTTTAATATTGTAGCGATTGTCTTAATGAAGAATGGATTATAACATGGCATGATGAGTTCGATATGTCCGAAGTGACCAATGCAATCTCCTTGAGCACTGAAACATGTTGTACAGATTTCATTTCGAGAACTTGGTCCCATTGAAATATCGTAAAGTCCGCCGGTCACAGGATTTCCGATGCTATCAAATGATATTGAACTCACTATTTTACAAACGCTAAATTTACGGATCTCTTCAGCACTAAAGACATTGAATGTCAGTTTGTCTACCTCGAGGGTGACTGCTTTTTCTTTTTGCATTTGTAGAACCATTTTTTAAGGTTATTGATTTGATTCCGATTTTATTAACTTTCTACAATATTTAAATATCTCACTGAATTCATTTCATGTTAAAAAACTACGTTTTTTAGTTTGTTTTCAATTGGTAGTGAAATTGGACTAAAACTTTTTATTAAACTTGAGTTAAATGCAAATTTGTTCTCCTTCTTGTTGCACACTTTTTTTGTAAACAAAATCACACGTGAAGGATTCGTAACTAGCTAATGTAACATGAAATTTGAAATTAAAACCGTTAAAAATTAAGTTTCAGATTTGAAATGTTTGGAAGTGTTAGTGTAAGATTCAACAAAAATAAAGTTGAAAGAAATTCATACAAAATCCGTGAATTTGTTAAGAAATACTGAGTATGTTAAAATTATTAATTGATATTCATTTAGATAACTCATAATCATTATGTTTCAACTTAAATTAAATTTAAATTATTGTCGTTTTAATTGTAATTCATGATTTTACATTATTTTTCAGAAAAACCAAAAACAATCTTCAAAAAGCCGATGAATTTGTATAATTACTTATCAACAGTCAATCGACTGTGGAATAATGAAGATGGTAATGGAGTATCTCGATTTATAACAATAAATGGAAATCACTCAACAAATGTTAATCTCCACGTTGAAAATCCTGATGCTGCTGTTGAGCGAACTATTCCAACGCCACTTGATGAAATCATCAGTTGTCACATAAAAGTTCTTTTCTATCTTCATGAGAATCGTAAGATTGTTAAATTTCATTAAAAAACTTTTAGTATTAATATCATTTCAAGCTCCTGACTATGATGAGGCTTACAAATACCAATCAGCATGTGTACAAGCAGTTGTTAAGATGTTGCAAGCATTAAAAGAGGAAAATTGGTGTCTCCCAATAATGTATGTAACATGTCTCGATCTACGTCTTCTTGCACTTAAGTGTGAATATATTGGAGGATCAGCAAAAAGTGGACAAGTTATGGAAAAAGCTGCCGAATGTCTCATGTCATGTTTTCGCGTATGTGCAGCTGACAACAGAACTGAAGAGCGTGACACCAAAAGATTAGGAATGCTGCATCTTGTTAATCAAATGTTTAAAGTTTATTTTCGTATCAACAAACTCCATTTATGTAAACCACTTATCCGAGCTGTTGAGAGTTTGTCATTCAAGGAATCATTCTCAAAAGCACAACAAATCACTTACAAATATTTCGTTGGACGAAAAGCGATGTACGATTCAGATTATAAGACTTCAGATGAATATCTCACATTTGCATTCAGTCATTGCCCGAGTAAATTTGTTAAGAACAAAAGATTGATTCTCATCTACTTGGTGCCTGTTAAAATGCTCCTTGGCTACATGCCACGAAAAGAAACAATGGAAAAATTTAAAGTTCCCCAATTTCATGAGTTAGCTTGTGCATTGAAACAAGGAAATGTCAGAGCGTTTGATGATGTCATGCAGAAATACGAATCGTTCTTCATCGAAACTGGAATTTATATCATCGTCGAGAAGTTGAAAATCATCGCTTATCGGAATCTTTTTAAGAAAGTTTATCTCATCCTTCAAACTCATCAAATCGATCTCGAACATTTTCTTACTGCTTTAAAATTCGTTGGCGAAGATGATGTGACAATGGACGAGACACATTGCATTGTTGCGAATTTAATAGCTGAGGGTAGAATCAAAGGATATATTTCGTACCAGCACAATAAACTTGTCGTTTCTAAGCAAACAAGTCCTTTTCCAAGTCTCTACGGAACAACATCTTAAGTTATCCTTTCAATTACTTTAAAAAATAAACTCAGAAGAAGAAAAATTCTTGGAAGTGTTTTTACACCTGAAAAGCTTTTGAATAAAATGAGAAAATATTTTCTTTGATTAAATTTGTGTTATTTTATTTAGATAATTGAATTTCTTCATCATTTTACACACTTTTCCCTAATTTTAATTAAAAATTATTCACCTTCTCCTTTAAAATTCTTCCACAATACCAAAAATAATATTTTCTAAAAACTAAACAGAATTTATTGTGTTATTAAATATATTGAAAGATTGTAGTTAAGATAGTGTTGTAGTGAGTTAAGAATCTGCTAAAAGTGTTTAAGCTTTGTAAATTATCTGTCCAATTACTTCCGCTTTCATGTCATTCTCAATTCGATAAAATATCGACAAACTTTTTTCGTGTTGCCATGTTGGAAATTCATTCTGTGATAAGCGAAAATTTCCTCTATTGAAAGCATTTTAAGTGAAGAAAAACGTTCGCAATTTACATTAACTATTTTTAGTTTGTTACTCCTTTACGTTGAGTAAGTTTGATGTCCTTCAAACACTCAAGGAAAAAGCGATTATGCAAATCTCCTTGTGACCATCAAACGCGTCTATGTTAATAACTTTCACTCACTTCCTCCTTTCAACCATTTAATTGCGTCAATCACGAACGTTTTCAAAGTGTGAGAAGTTGTAAATATGAAAATCTAAGCATCTTAAAATTATGAACAAATAAGCTTTAAAATTATTAGCATGGATTAAATATATTATAATGTTGTTTGTCTGATGAAGAAGAAATATAATTTGCTTAATTATCAGCCGACAGCACGGCAATGACATCATTAATCGCCAATGATTGTTTGACGAAATCAGCATCGGTTACAATTTCTGTTAATGTTTTCAACATGTCGATCATTGTGGAAAGCTCGATACGTAATTGTGGTTCCAACTTCTTCAAGTGGTTCATAATTGATTCGGGAATCTGAGTGAGAAGAAACAAATTTAATAAAAAAACATTTTCAACAAATTTTTTCACTTACCTTTGTAACATCTTTGAAAGCAGAAAATTTTACTTTTGTTTTTAAAATCTTGTTGTCAATTCCTTCATCATAGAAGATTGTAATGTTCGAGTCAGTGGCATTAGCAACGACAGGAAAATAAATTCCAGCAAAAACTCGTCCTTTTGGATCTCTAGAAAGCAATGACCGAAAATCATAAACCAAGTTGCGTCGAACTGTAACGTCGATTGCTGTTTTGTATGGTCGATCAACATAAATTAAAGATATCTCGTATTTTTGTTGACCATTACGAGTTGTTCTTTCTCTCCACGTTATGAAATTGTCACTCATGTGCGAGAAAGTGTAGCAATATTCGCGTTTACAACCAGGTTCATCTGATTGTGTAAAGAACCCAGTGTGAGGATAATTTTGATCTTTCATGACAGTTACAGCTCTTGCAACGTGATAACCCGGATCAATAATCATCAATCCTTCACGTCCAGCTATCATTATCTTCATAGCAACCAAAGAATGTTCCTTCTCTAAACTCCATGCTGCTGCTTCAATGCTTTTCTCATCACAATTCTCAATATACGAGATTGTGTCTTCAACGGCTTCTTCACATGAAACTAAATAAAAATGTTCTGCTATGTTCGGTCTTAAGGTTGCAATTCTAGCAACAATTTCCATTGCCAAACTGACGCACATATGATGACGTCGATTAACTGGCGGTGAATAAATTTGAAAGAATTCTCGTAAATTTTTGAATGACGATGCTTTGAATGCCTGATAAAAGTCAATGAAATTATTGACGGTGTTGTAATGAGTTTCTTCCATCATATGCTGTAAAGTTGTATCAATCAATGCCACAAGATCTTCGTATGCGTAGAGCTGATGTAGAATGAACGATAATTAATGATAATTTTTACTCAATAAAGATTTTTCTTACCTTTTCAATATTTAAAGTTGGTTTCGATTCTTTGGCCCACAATGGCAACGGAAGTGGCTGATTAATGGACCATCTACCACATTCCGTTTGATCAAACGTCGTCAAATTGTAACCATCGGCAGTTGTCCACTTTCCATTGCCCTCAAATAATGAATCACTCGAATAAAAATCGTCATCATCATCATCATCGTCGTTGTCAGAGTCAGTGGACGTATCATCATCGTCAGTTTCACAACAGCCGATTCCACTGCTGCATGCTGACGACGATTCGCCTTCTTGAGCTCCCGTCACAAAAGCTTCGACATTGTATCGAGCTTTGTGACTTTCTGGATCAGTCAATCTGCTTCCATCATTGCATTCATGATTGACTGACCCGAGCCCCGAGTCATTACGAAACTTTTCATCATTATTGAGTCAAGATGGCCATTCGCAGCCCCAACGGCCAACGGATGGTAACTGAACATTATTTTCACTTGAATTTTCGCTTATTTTCAATGAAATAATTCCCTCGTTTATTTTAATCGCACTCAATGCATCAACTGGTGAGCTAAGACTCCTTCGGCTCTGCTGATGAACCGTTGGTTCGTCCCCTTTTATTAAAACTTGTTTGTCACGCTCTGTAGAAAAGAATTAAAAAGAAAAGCTCGAATATTAGAATATTTAAGAATGACGACAATGTCTGTGACATTACAAAAGCACCACCCACACAACGAATTCCAAAAAAAATTTCCTTCTTTCCACGCAATCATCGAGTTAGAGTCTTGAAGTTGAAATGTTCAAAAGAAATAAATTTCATTTTATTACAATTCGACTTTGTATATGGCAAAAAGAGTTCTAGACTACTGTTAATTATTGTATAAATATTGAAATCTTACTTGAAAGTATTCACGTATGATGATTGCTTTTAATGTAAGTGAATGTAGGTAATATAAAGTAAAAGCCGCCGACACAACTGTATGAAAATTTCATTACATTTAATAATCTAAATAAGAAACAAATCAGAATATCACAGGAAAAAAAGTTTTTAGTTCAAGGAAATTTGATAAAGATGAAATTGCTATGAGGTGAACTCAAGTAGATGATATCATAATGTTGTTCAAGATGTTGTTGATAACCGCAATTCGATATGTTTTCTATTACATATTTGGTATCGAATATCAAACGAGCTCGTTATAACGATTATCTATTTATGAAAATAAATGTTTTTTCACGAGAAAACGACGTGTCGGAAGTATGAACACATGCTAAAGTTCGCTTTTTCATTTCATTTAACGTGGCTTGTTAAATGATAAGCTTTTTCAAGTAAAGAATTTATGTAGGAAATTGATGTCAAGAGAGTCTGCGATGATGACTCATTCATTGAAAATTTATAACGTGATATTCAAAGCTTCATTAAATAAAGAGAACAACTAACTGAGGAATCTAAGTATGTCGGCAAAGAAAGAGAAAGAGAAGACAATTGTCGGTGGAGAAATATTCCGATGAATCATTGCGAAAACTTCGTATATGTTTTATGGCTAATTTACTTCAATTTTTTACTTACCCATACAAAGCACCAGGCCCCAAATAAAAAATTCCTTCTTTCCGAAGAAAAAGGGATTAAAAGTGTTGCTTCGCTGTTGTCTTCCTTCTTGATTTCTCTTCGGTCACCGCGTTCAATCCAAATTTATTTTTGGGTTTAATCCAAAAACAAAAAATGGAACAACGAAAGAAAAACAGAAAATAAAAAACTAAACAAAAAAGAATTCGAGTTTTGTTTGCACGGTTGTCTGTTTTTTCACTGTCGACAATTGATAACAATTATTGTCGAGGTCAATAACTAACTAGATTTACTAGAAACGTTTATAATTTCTGAATGAGAGAAAAAAAAGTTTGTATTCTTCACTGCACTCACGCTGCTTAAGCGACTTGTTCACAACTGAAGGACTGTCAGCTTTCTGATTTTTCGTTCGTTATTTCGTTTCGAATTTATAGACGTTCCGTATGCACTCACACAATCACATCTAACTCGATTTATTTAGTGTGAATAAGAAACGAATTCTTTGACTGTTTTTTCAGTGTAAAGTTTAATCGTTTTGTAATTAATTTTTGCTTGCTTTTTTTTGTTTATACACGGCATGCAATTGAAAAATTATTCCCTTTAGCTTTATTTATGGATTTCACGTTTCTGTCCAATAAATTTTTTTAATCTTCCCTAATGAATTCTCTCAACTTTTGTTTCTTAAAAACACATGTGATGATTATGATGATGATGATGGGGAGAAAAAAAACTTCGACGGAGGAAAATTAATAAAGAAAAAGTAAAAAATGTAACATAGATAAGTATTAAAATTGTAAACAGCTGTTTTATGTTTACAATTAACACAAATGAACTGTAGATAAGTATGAGAGAGTCGTTTAAACGTTCACTGCTTTTGCCTTCTGTTTTGCACAACAATGAATATCGCTTGAAATATCCAGACGCGAAGAGAACTTTTTATACCTGAAAGAAGAATTAGGAGAGGCAAAAATAAATTATTATTGTGGATGAGACGCCAAAACAAAAAATAATCAGAAGAATGAAATAAATGCGGAAATTCAATTCTTAGATAAATTACACAACATTATGTATGACTTTGAAAGAAACTTGGAATTTTCCATAACATCGTCTCGCGTTTTCATATTTATTTACATTTCATTATCACTAACTTTTGAAACTATAAATATCTACCTAAATATAAAAAATCGTCGACTTTATTGTCGCTAAGTGAAGATTAAGAGAAAAAAAACTGATTTCCATTAAATAAATAAAAAGAAAGAAAATAAACAAATGATTGTTAATCATGCTGCCTTTCATGAATACAGAAACTCAAGCGTCGTGATTATTTTCATCTCAAATTGCGCTGAAAGTTTCAATTTTCATTTCTTCATGATGTAAAAACATTTTAATATTGAGAAACGTGTCTCGAATCTGTGGAGTTATCATTTGCATGTATGCCTTAAATTGTTGCCGAGATTTTTTTATATATTTTTGTTTAAGATTTCTCTTCATAACAGGGGATTGGATGAGATTCACCGCTACTTTCACATCACCATGAAACAATAAAATGCTCTAGACTTCAAACAAATGAAAACCCCAGGAAAATATTTGCACACAAGCCATTAAATCTGTCGATTTATACATTGATCCAAACCTATGCATTAGTGAGGTTTTTGTACTTTCAAAGTCGCATGACACTATCAACATCAACATGAGATCAAAAGGCTCAAATCAGTGTTGAAATCAGAAAAAAATTGTTGCTTTATCATGTGATTACCCACATGAGCTCAACCTTTATAAACTATTTAGTTTGCGTGATATAAATTTATTGTTTTGATTCAAAAGCCTTTTTGTACTAAATTGCGATGTTGGCAAAGTGAAAAGCGAAAATATATAGCATTGTTTGACTCAAATTTCTTTAAAGTGATTAAAGCTTTTCATCCTCGATGAAAAACACAAAAACATTCTTCTCGAATAGGCTAAGAATTTATTTTCAGCAGCCTTAAAATAAATCACAAAGTTATGCAATTTTCATTTCTCACATAAAAGTCATTGTCGAATATGAGGTAGAATTAATTTGTTGGGTAGATAGTCAAGGCGATGTCTACATAGCCGTAATGACTTTCAATTTGAAAGGTGCCGCTACGATGATTGAAACAATTTAATTAAGTGCTGCTGTTGGAAGTTAGCAAGCAATTTCCTTATATTAATATCTGAAGTACTACAATTAATCCTAAATATTATTTTAACATTTTAACTGAAAAGTCCTTGATTAGTAGTTTTGAAGTTCTTGGCAAATTTGAGATTCTGATCAGCAATAAGGGATTTAGGAAAATCAATAGAAATTAAGGTCAACACGCAAATATCATTTAAGTTCCCTTTTCCTGTGTAAAAGTTATGTTTCACAGTGTCATGAGACTAAATATTTCTTTAGGCAGTCATTACGCAAAAAAAGAATGTTATACACTATGGTAAATTTATTTCGTAAAGACGGAAAATGTAAGCGGAAAATCGATAAATATTTGAAACATATTGTTCGCTTAATTTACCTTTGACCTTATAACTACGAAGCTCGTCAAGATGTGGGAGGTTTAAAATATCAAAAAGCACTTATAATTGAAAGTTCCACTTATAATTAGTCTTTGAACTTAAATTTGAAAGTTTACTTCTTAAATTTTTCATAAAATTTTTCATTTTTTTCTCTAATAAATGTTCTTCCTTTTTATTCGTTTTTCACCACGTTTTTCATTTTTTCTTCATAACAGTTTTCAAAGATTTTACTTAAGTCATTTGTTTTTATGTTGGATATTACTTAGATTATAACTTTTGCACTATTTTTCAAAACAAGAAATTAATTTTAAGTCGAAGGAAAATTTTCCAATCGAAGGGAAAAATTTTGAACTGATTTTTGAACCGCTTTTGAAGATGTAAACAAAAAAAGTTTTGTTGAGTTAAAAAGTTGAAAAACAATTCAAATTTTTTAAGAAAATATTCAGGATTTTAATATTATGTCACGTTTAATTAATTATAAGATCAAGGAAGTGAGTGTTTCTCTTCCATTTTCTCTGTCATTCTTTTAATTCTTTCTTCTTAGATTTCAACAAAATTATGTGACAAAACTTTATGTCCGGTTGAAATAGTTTCTGACTTTCTACCCAAACTAAAATCATTCAATGAAAAATTCAACACCTTTATAACAATAACAAATGAATTTGCACTCAAAAGAGCTGAAGAGTCATTACATAGAATAAATAATGGTCAAAAACTTCCACTTGATGGAGTTCTTATTGCAATTAAAGATAATTTTTGTATCAAAAATATAAGAACGACATGCGCTTCAATGTAAGTAAAGAAAGATTAAATGTGATGGATTGTTTCTTAACAATGATTTTTTCATTTTAGAATGCTTAAAGATTTTATTCCAACATATAACGCAACTGTTTACCAGAAGCTTGAAAATGCTGGTGCCATTCTTATGGCCAAAACTAACATGGATGAGTTTGGAATGGGATCGGGAACCGTTGATTCAATCTTCGGACCTGCAAAAAATATTTGGAGTAAAGATTTAAATAATCCTGCAATTGCTGGAGGATCATCAGGAGGTTCAGCTTTGGCAGTTGCATCAGGATATTGTTCAGCAGCGCTAGGATCAGACACTGGTGGATCCACTAGAAATCCAGCGTCTTATTGTGGTGTTGTGGGATTTAAACCAACGTATGGCTTGTTGTCCAGACATGGTTTGATTCCTTTAGTAAACTCAATGGATGTACCGGGAATATTAACGAGAACAATCGATGATTGCTTAGAAATTTTCAATACAATCGCCGGACCTGACGACTTTGACTCGACAACAATTAAAGAAACTTTCACGCCAATCAAACTGCCAGAAGAAATAAATGTTAAGAAAATAAAAATTGGAATACCAAAAGAATATCATTGCAATGGATTATCTTCGGAAGTTCTTGAAACATGGACGAAAGTTGCTGATCTCTTAGAAGCTGGTGGAGCAGAAGTTAAAGAAGTTTCAATGCCTTATACATCATCATCAATATTTGTCTATTCGATTCTTAACTCGTGTGAAGTTGCAAGTAACATGTCACGTTACGATGGTATTGAGTTTGGACATAGAGCTGACGATGAGACAAGTACTGAACATCTTTACGCTAAATCTAGAGCTGAAGGCTTCAATAGTGTCGTAAAGAATCGAATTTTCGCTGGAAATTATTTTCTTCTAAGGAAAAATTATGAAAATCATTTTCTGAAAGCATTGAAGGTTCGAAGATTAATTAACAAAGATTTTATCAAAGTTTTCTCAGAAGTTGATCTCTTATTGACACCTACAACGTTATCAGACGCGCCTCTCCTAAATGATTTCATGAAACTAAATAATCGCGATCAAACCGCATTTCAAGATTATTGCACACAACCAGCAAACATGGCAGGAGTTCCAGCCATCACCATTCCCATCAAACTCTCATCAAATGATCTTCCATTAAGTCTTCAACTCATGGGTCCGAACTTTTCTGAAGAAAATCTTTTCAAAGTTGCAAAATTTATAGAAAATTCAGTAAATTTCTCTTCAGTTTATTCAGAAAGGAATTTTTATTAAATCATTGAAGTAGATGAATAAAACAAAAGTTAACAAATTAAATTTGAAGATAAATTACATCCATGGCATCCAGCCTTGAAACATAACGCAAAGATACTCAGGATCTGTGGCTTCGTTAATAATAAAGTTGACTTGTCCCTCTGTTGATAATGGAATACCTGACGATCCTTTATATTTGCTGACAATTCCCTTCAATCTCATTTCAATGTTTTTCATATTTCTTATCGATTCTTGTTCCGTTTGTTCCTTTTCTTTATCTTGTAAGCCGACAGCATTTCTCTTCCAGTCATCATTCTTCTTCAACAAAATGTCGTAAACCATCGGACGTAGATAAGACAACAAAGTGTTCTTCTCTTTCTGAAGAACTCTCAAAACAATTTCACAACTTTTTCTGAATGTTCCTTCAATTCCAAGCACGCCCATTGCATCAATCATATTGTGAGTTAAACGGAATGGAACTTTTTCTGGAACAGGAAGATTCTCGCCACGATTGAAGAGCATATTACAATCAACATGAACTGTTTCACCAGATTGAATATCAAAAAGGATGTTGAGACCATGACGATCACCAAGTCCCATAATGTAACCGATGATACTCATAACTGCTGTCGTTTTAATATAAGCTGATCGTGCTTTGAAAAAGTTTTGCGGTGTCACATATTGTTGACGGAAGAAGTCACAAAAGACTGGATAATATTCTTCACAAAGCGCTTCAAAAGCAAGTTTCTTATTTCCGTCGTATTTCTTTTCGATAGATTTGACACTATTTGGATGATGATTTCGTCGGAAATATTCCTTCATTATTAAATCTTTGTATGGTTTCAAGTTCGGTATCCATTCTGAAAAGTGATAAATAATAAAATTAAAAAAATTGATAATAAATCAGCAGTTTGACTCGTTTTGACTCTCCACCTCGAAAACCGTTAGAGCCTAGTCGGGCAGTCGAGTCAAGCCGGTAAAAATTAACAGAGTCGACTCGGTCAGTAGAGCCAAACCCGGTGGAAATCAAGCTGAGTCAAATTCCTGAAATAAAATATATAAGAACTCACCAATAAGACCACAAGTTTCGTTTAATGGAATGACAGAATAAGTTCTTGCTGTTAATTGACGATGACGCGATTCCAAATCTTTATACAAAAATTGTTTAACGACTGAAGCAAACTCTTGAAATCGCAAATCAATTCGCAAATCATCTTTCGATTTTAAAAGCATTGAATATTCCTTTCCATCACTTCCAATAACTGCAATTTTTTTTGGTCTTTGTAATGATGTCATCACATCCATTCTGTCTTTGATTTTATGAATTTTAATTATGTTGTCAGCGAACTTAAAACTCTTTTGACGCATAACACGAACTTGATTTAAATTATGCTCGAAAGGTAGAATAACATTCTTGAGCTTCGTAATTGTTGTAGCTTCCTTCGGTGCCATTTGTTTCATTGATATGATATTGACTTTCTCCGAAACTTTCAAGTTTGAGATCTTCATGAAGCTTTCAATGAGTGAATTATACTCTTGAATGAGTCCTTTGACCTGACTTTTCTCAACTCGAAAATCTTTCAATACTTGTTGACAACGATTGACTCTCTTTCGATCTTGACTCTTGAGCACTGGAATCAAATACCAAAGCGATTGCTGTGGATAATTAAGAACAAGTTTCACAAGAATATTCTTCAAAACATTGAATGTTGAATCAGATGGATGGCAAATTCTTGAGATCAATTGTGAGAAAGCCGAGTAGAAATAGAAGAGATTAAGACTGTCAATCGAATCGTCGACCAGTTTGTTCATCTTTGCCAAAATAGGTCCATGTGATTCGCCATATTCAGCTGCGGTATCCAACCAAATGCTAAGAAATCGTGGCATCGATTGAAAAACATATTCATTTCCATATTTCATACTGTCGAGATAAGTTTTGATCACAATGAACATGTTTTTCGGTTCACCAATTCGAATAAATTGTACCTCATTCTCTTTCGAGTAGTGACGATCCATGTATTCAGCTGTACGAAGGAAAACTTTCTCATTTTCAGCGCCAGGAATTTTCGCTTCAAAAAACATTTCCACATTCTTCACTGGCTCAACATTTACAGCTTCAGCATTATAAAGTGCAATCATTAACTTTCCTTTCGAGTAAATCTTCTTCTCTTCATCCGATAAACTTTCAACTTTTCTGTTGCCTAAAAGCTTCTTTGATCCAAGTTCTAAAATCTTAAAAGCATTATTTTGATCACCTTTGATCCAATTAAATTCAGCTTTCTCTAAAAATAATTTCTTCGGTTGATATTGTTCGGCATTCAAAATGTACATTTGAGCTTGTTGATACATTTTGTTCTTGCAAGCAAGTTTTGTACTTTCAATCCACAAGTTTCCAATCTCTCCATCAATCAAATTATTAATTCTTCCAACTTGATTGCTGTCAAATATTTTCTGCAATCTTAACTTCATTTCATTCATGATGATTCGATGAAAGCACAAAATTTGCTCTTCAATTGAAATTGTTTTAAAAATCACTTCCATTCTTGTCGTCCATTCGTCAAAGAGATTTTTTAAGATCGACATTGCACGATCAACGGAATTTGTCTTTTTAATTATATTTAAAGCATTTCCGGCTTTCTCAAATTCATTAATCAAATGAAGATGAACGACTTCTGTGTAATTACTGCCGTAAGAAGTTTGTTCGCTTCCTGAAATCATCAAATTATTCATCACAGCAAGACGTGCTGTGTTCAATTCATCAAAGAAATTGACATTGTTGATGTCACTTTGATCATCTTCAGATCGAAATCTTAACAAAAGATTTCCACATCTTAATCCCCAATTTGAACTTTTTTGAATTGTTTTGTCGGAAATTAATTCCTCAAGTTCATCAAACCGCGATAATCGCCACAATGGCTCAGCTTTTATTTCATCGCATGCCAATTTTTCCGATGAATTGTAAATCTTTTTGATCATCTCTTCATAAACCACCAAAGCTGTTTGTGGTTGATCTAATAAGATGTAAGTGTTAATCATACTTTGAATGTGTTCAATCTTAGCTTCGCCTATTTGCATCATTCGTTCAAAACTCGCAGCTAAATCTTGATATTTTCCTGTGACATTGCTAATCAGAATTTTCTCTTCAAGCGACCGTTCTGTAGTCTTTAAAGCTTGGATCCCTTCAACTGAATCTGGATTCTCAAGCTTCACATAAATTTGAGTAAGGAACGAAAGTTTATCCTGAAATTCTTCTCCTGATTGTTTCTTAAGTGCATTCTCTAAATAAATCATTGCACGAGCGTACTCGCCACATTCGTAATTGACTTCAGCCATCTCTTCAAGATCAAAACTATCGAGAAACAAATTAACTCGTCTTACAAGTTCAGGCTTGATGCCTCTTCGTCGATAATTCTCCAAGAAATCGAACGCTTCGAAAATTATTTTAGCTGCTTTAACAGCTTCAATTTTCATGTTGTTTTTCAGCAGCTGATCTGAAACCTTCATTGGCACAAAATCAAATTCTTTCACATAAAGTGGCTTCTTTTGCTTCTTCGCTTCATGTTGCTGCTCAAAAATTTCTCTCTTAAGAATGACAGCAAAAATAAAATCAATTTCAGTTCGAAGTGGATTTTGTGACTCAATCAACGAAGAATCAAATTCAAGATGATGAAGAATAATGTAAGGAAAGAACAATGAAGTGATGTGTTGATTATGCTTCATGCTCGGTTTAATAGATTCCAGTAAATCTTTTGTATTTGAAGGATGTTCAACAATTCGACTTATCAGTTCCCCAGACCATCGCATAATCCAATCCATGGCTGTCTGTAATTGCGTCCAAAATATTGGAAATTTATCACTTGGTTCACTTGTTTTCGGTGCATATTTTGATGTTAAAAGTGGTTCAATCTGTGATCTCATTTTCTTCGGAATAATTTTCCAAACTTCCATTTCATCATGATTTTCCTTGGTAACTTTTTGATCTTTTAACAGTTCTTGAATAGCTAAGGAAAGTGCATCGATGTGTTTAGCGTCATTCTTCAATTGATATGATCGACAAAGTTGATACAAAGCCAATTTAGCGAATTCAATGTCATGAATTTCTTCAGGAAATTCTTCCTGATTTGTATATTTTTGTTGCTGCAACGTCGGTTCGATGGCACCAAGTTCACCAAAGCATTCAGCAGTTGCAAGTTGAAGCATTTCATTTGTCGTGTTCTTACAGTTTTTAACAAGAATGTGAAGTAATTCTTCAATCACTGGATCCATTGTTAATCGACAAATCATGTCATTAAGGTCATCACGATTGTTCTGAAAAAGTTCCTTAAGATATTGCAGACAATAAATTTGAATTTTGAAATCAGAATTTTCACTGTTCATGTGACGAATGAATTCGGTAACATTTGATTTAAAATCACGATCGTCACGCTTTTGACTGTGCAACTGTTCAGTGATGATCGCTTTGATATCTGAATGAACTCGAGTCTTCTCGATGAAGAAAAGATTCGAGATGTGGCAACTTAAAAGGTTTCGATTGCTAACAACGAGATAACTGTAAAGTTCATGAACTTCATCAGGATATCTATCAATGAAGGCTTCCAAAGATACAAAAACTGTGCTCAAAATCGGTCCAAGAAACGTCACATCACAGTTTCGAATCAAAATTTCCCACACTTTTATGCAAACATCACTCAAATCAAACGTTTTTTGTTCAGCTGCAGTTTTCAAAACTGTAATAATCTTGAAGCAAAATGGCGAGATTCGAGAGTCGCCCAGTAATCGAATGATGTCTCCTAAGCTCAAAAGAATATTTTTCTTTGTTACACGTTCGCAGTCATTTGATGTTAAAAATGGCTCAAAATAAATTAAAACGCCTAAGAATCTCGTTGTGATGCTTTCAATCATCTCTTCATCATCATCATCACTAAACAATGAACTACTTCGATCGTTGATTGAATGTTTGAAGATTTCAGCAACAAATTCAGGTGATTTATTGTAGAACATCAACACTTCATCAACAGTTTTCTTCTTGTGACTTGCAAAACGTTTGTAAATATTCATTTGGATTCTATCTTCGATGAACTTTACACAATTTTCAGTGACATTCTTCGGATGTGATGTGTAAATGTGATGATAAATTTCAAGCAAGTTTTTATCGATTGCATCGGAAAGATTTTGTTCTTTATCCAAAGGTCCAAGCATCCCACACAAATCAGTTAAGCTTTTCATGATTACTGGACTCTGAGAGAGAAATACTTTTAATTATTTCATAAAATTAAAGAAATTTGCTAATCATTACCTGAACAGCTCTCGGAAGTAAATAGGCAATAATTGTACCGATGGTCTTTGGAAGGAAATCGCGTAATTTCGAGATATTCAAATATCTCAATAGCTGTGAAATTAAAAATTATAAAAAGAAACTTAAAGAATATTCAAATAATTTACAACTTACGTTGATGATTGAAGTTGACAAGGAAATATTTTCAGCTAAATAATTTGCAATAATTATGTAAGTAACGTAACGCATGATGAAAGTTTTATGCCATTGAAATAATTGTTGCAAAGTAATTTTATTTCTTTTAGCCATTTCTAATGCCAGCAACGATGCTTCAGCCTTGACTTGTGAATCATATCTCAATATGTAAAGGAGGAAAATTTTAAAACATTTCACCATTGTCAGCTCATCGACAACAATTGTTGAGTACGTGAAGTTCATTTTGATTGTTAATGATTGAAGTTTGTCGTTCTTATTGCCAGAAACTGTCAGTTGTGTCAGTTCACCGATGTTTGTGAAGAAGAAATTTTCAAAGATTTCCAACTTTAATTTCTCGCTGAATGGAAGTTTTTGAATGTTACACAAAATGTCTTTAAGATTTTTCTCAAGTTCTTCAACAAATTTGTCATTTGGAAGATAAATCCCTTCAAAAAATGATTTTCCTTTGTCTTGCTGAATCCAAGTTATGAAATCTTTCGAATGAGTTATCATCGATGGAATGTGAGAAAATAATTTCATTTTGAATTCATTTGATTGTGAAATTAAGTTTGATGCAGAAATTTGTAGATTTTGTTGTGCATTTTTGAATGGATCGGATGAGATGAGAATAGCATTTAAGTCCTTTATGAATGCCATGTGACGATGAATGTCTAAAGATTTCATTGACTTTGGATAAATTGTTGACACAAGAATGCAATCATCACAAACAATCTTATAATCATAAATGTGATACTCTTTGTGCATCTTAAATATACTTAAATGTCCACCAGATAAGCAAAGCATGTCGCGAAGTGGTTGAATTGTCAATTGAACATCCTTCAATTCCATCAAAAAGTTCTGATAAAGCGTTAAAACTTCTTGAAGCTTCCCACTGTTATTGACAGCAAAACTCGTAAAGTTGCTGTAAAGTGCAGACTTTTGTTCGATGTCATTCTGACTAATCACACTTTCCATGATACTTTTAACAAGCACCCAACAATTTGGTTGCAATGAAAATTGAGAGAGATTTATTATGCTTGTTGCCTTCATTTTAAGAATAATTTCTTGCTTTCTTTCAAATTGACTTTCAAAAAATTCTACAAGTTTCTTCGGCAACTTTTTCATTTCATTGTGAAGCCATGGAAGTTTTCTAATGTGTGGACTCTTTTTCAATGTTTGATAGAACGGTAAAGCAACAATTGAAACCATTTTTTGATTTAATAATGAGTTATTGTTATCACAGAGATTAATAATGCAACTAAAAATATCTAAAGTTACACTTACAATCGGTGCATCGATTACATTTTGATTTTCAATGGCACTTAAAAGTTTTCCAACCATTTCTTCAAGTTTATCGAAGAATTTCAATGGAATGTGTTTGAAGTTCCAATCTGCGAATTTCATCAAAGAATTATTGCACTCAAATGTGTGGCATTTGCATTTGTTTGAAAGCGTTCCATGATGCAATTGATGATTCTTTGTAATGCCAAATTCGATTTGAAATGCTAATGTGAAATAAGATGAGATGCACTCAAGCTTATCGAGAAATTCTTCTTTTGTGCTTTTTGCAAGTTGATCAATATTTTTGAGAGTTCGATCGTGAATGTTTTTCCAATGAGAACTGCTGATCCAAAGTTGCGAATTGAAATTAGATGAGATTTGTACTTCGGCAATGATCAGGTACATAATTAATTGATTGATAATCGTTGGATTGTCCAATGGGAGAAGAACTTTCAAACACTCAACAGTTTCCAGAGTGTAATCAACGTCATCTAATACAACTTTCAACATGTTTGAGAATAAGTTGACTGGTTCATTCTGGGGGTTGTCTGAGTAATAATACATTTTATAATTAGTTATCAGATTGAAGATAATTTCAGTTGTGTACGCCAAAAGATGTTGAACATCAATGAGATTTGTGAACTTCATTCGATTGACTGGAAAATCTGTGACAAATTCTTGAGCTTGAACTTGAAGATTTTTCAGTGAATTTTCATTTTCGAGATTTTGTTTCCACAGTGGAATCGATTTGTAAATTATTGACATCGAATTCAAGACATAGATGAATGTTTCGACGTCACTTTCTGTCAAGCAAGCAAGACTTGCATAATATTTCCGTAAATATTTCAAAGCAAACGATTTGCTTTCTATGGATTTCTCTCGAAATATTTGAACCGCGATGTTTCTGATTGCAACACCTTTGTCAACATCCATGTTGCAGTATTGAGGAACAATATAATCGAGCACCGAAAGACAGACTTTAATCAGGTTGTCAACGTGATATTGAGAAGTTAAAATAATTTTGGGAACATTTTGTACATCAGAAAGATTTGAGTTTTGTCCGTAAGAAAAAATTAAAGCTAAAAAAGATTTTTTTAAATCATTTTTTAAGAATAAATTGAATGTTTTGTTTTACTTTTTGTCTTTTCATTGACTTCAGGATTCCAGAGAACTCCTTGTTCCAGAATCGATGTGTAAACTGTTATGAGGATCGTGTAGCACCATCGTTGATGTTCATATAATGTTAATAAATAAGTTCTTTGTACATCAATTAACCAAAAATTTAATCTGAAATAATTTCAAATTTAAAAGCGCTTCTTTTCCATTTTTAAATAAACTTACATTCCTTCCGTATCATAAATTGAAATGTATAAAAGCTTACTCAACAAGGACATTGAGCATGTCTGAACTATTTCTCTGTCATCATGATTAAGAATCTTCTTGGGAATATATATTGACAAATCATCTTTTAAAGGAATTAACATTTTTTTGAGCTTCTCGTACAATCCTTGATAATCCGCGTTCGAATATATCAAAATTTTTAAATCTTCGTTGTTGAAAATCAGAGTTTTTGAGATTTGATTTTCAAATTCTTTAACATATTGTTGGAAAGCTTGAGCTTCTTGAAAGATATCACACTCCATTTTGATGTATTTCTACGATAATAACAAATTAAACTAGAGCTATGTAGTTAAAAATAAATCGGTGGGATCGATGAACAAGTTTCAACACGATTGGAGTGCGTTTTGTAATTCCCGCTTTAAACCCTTTTCACTAAACGTATCCATAGATTGAACAAATTAAACGAAAAATTAACGAACAAATTTGTTGAACATTCTCCTTCTTTCCTCAATAAGAGCTGTTCAGAAATAAAGTTGCGTTTACTCTTCCTTTTAGAAAATTCTCCGCGGAAACGTGTGATTAAGTGAGTGAAATTATTTGTTTTCTCATCTAAATCGTGAAATTGATAATCTCAAAATAGTATGCAAATATTCATAAGATATTGATATAGTTAAATTAAATGAAGAACATCTCATATCCTATTGAAATACTTTGATAATAACAAAATAGAAAATTGAAGTTTTAAAAGTTTTTCCAATCAAATATGTTTTTTTCTCAGAGAAGATATTTGTAAATAAATTTTTATTTTTCATAAAAGCATTCTACGCAGTTTCTATGTTTCTAAAAAATTTGAGTTTAGTCATCGTCTTATTAATTAGAGCAATAAATTTATTTCCAATGTTTATTTTCATTATTATTTGAGGTTATCTATTAGCAGAACAGTAATTTATATATTTTTGTAAATTATGAACTAATTGTCGTATTATTTATTTTTTAGACTATGGCCGATACAGCAAAGAAAGCACCAGCTGCAGCTGCTCCAGCTAAGAAGGAGAAAAAACCGGCAGCAACCAAAACTGAAGTAAAAAAAGTTAAAGAGCCAGCACCAGTTACTCCACGTCCATTCAAACGATATGGAAGACTATGGGCTAAAGCTGTCTTCACTGGTTACAAACGTGGATTGAGAAATCAACATGAAAATCATGCATTGTTGAAGGTGGGACAAAAAATATAATAAAGTTAATTTTAACATTTTTAAATGATGGTTGAAGACATTTGAAACCTGAATAACAAATGTGGAGAACTTTTTCTGCTGATAAAACAAAAAATGTTTAATAATCATAATGAAATGATAAATTTTTTATTTCAAATTGCAAAACTATTTTTTATTTTAGATCGAAGGCTCTCGCTCCAGAAAAACTTCCTTGTTTTACATTGGAAAACGCTGTGCATTTGTTTTCAAAGGCAAATCAAAGAAATCATCGCCAACAAACCCAAAACACAAGAGCCGTGTTCGTGCTATTTGGGGAAAAGTGACTCGCACTCATGGTAGCAATGGAAGTGTTCGCGCTCGCTTCACTAAGAACCTGCCTGGTGATGCAATTGGTCATCGCGTAAGAATTGTGAGTTCATTTGACATTTATTTTTATTCAATCAAAAAATAATGTTAAAACATTCCTTTTCAGATGTTGTATCCATCACGAATCTAATCAATTTCTTTGGATGTTTCATAAACTTAACAAGAAAATAAATCGAAGATCCTTTCTTATATAAGAAATTCCAACAAAATGTGTTGACTTTTATTTTATTTTAATTTCTATTGTGTAAAATGTGATGAAAATGTTTATTGAAGAGTGAGAATATGTGGAGAATGTTTGCCGTCAATGAGAGGATACTGAGATCCATCCGAACACCATTTAGCGATGGTGTAGCCATAGGATCGCACTTTCGATAAGCAGCAATGATGTGGAGCATTGACTTGATCATGAAATTCGCAACTTTTTGAAATCAATCGAAAATTATTGTCGAAAAAAGTGTCCGATGCAAAAGCAATTGATGGAAATGTTTCTTCCTTCTCTGAGTCGTTTATATCATTACGATTGCGTACCGTGATGTTGTGCAAAGCATAAAAAAGTTCTTCAATTGGATAAATTTTAATTTCTGGTTGCATGTCAAATTCTTGTGCTTCATAAAATATTTTCTCAAAAACTTTTCGCGTTTCTAGAAATGGAGAAGAATTGTAATGAATATTTCCCTCTGTGAAAAATATTGGAAGCCTTTCTAGTGGCAACAAAAATGATATCAACATATCTAATATCATATAATAATCTTTCACACCCCCGCAATCTGGTGGAAGCAGATATTTGTGTGAATTTTTCGATTTTTCCAATGCAATGAAAATTGAAGAAAGTGGAAGTTCACCAGGATTAATTTGAACATGAAGATCATCAATAATTCCACTCTTCAAACTGAACTTTGCTAAAGCGATTTCTGCAGGATAAATTTCATCATTTATCTCAAAGAACGATGATGCGTTGATGAAGTAGAAAATTGTTTCATCTAAATCTGTAAATTAATTAACAATGATAAGAAATATTTATTGAATTTCGTTTAAGATTTTTCACCTCCTATAGAATTTGCATCCGTCACTATCTTGTTAATTTCGCTTGAAACAGAAACAATTTCATTTGCTTCTTTTGGTTCTTTTTTATCGGAATTCTCGACACAGTCAACTTCACTAGATTTCTGAGCTTTTATTTTATATTCTTCTTTCTTCTCCTTGCTTAGTTTATTCCAAAGTCGACCAGCAATTCCGATTGCTTTATTATAATCTGAACTATTAAATCGTCTTTTATTAACTTCCATAGCAAAAATCATAAAAGCATTTCTAGACGAAAAGATTGAACTTTATTAAATAAATGAATTTAGTTAGTAAATTTTTAATTTACAGCTTTTTCTTCTGTTTCGGCATGATTTAAAGTTACGGAAAGAATTTTTTTAAGTTAAAGTTTAATTTTTTTGACATCTACGTGAAACACAAAAACACTTGTGAATTTAATTCTCTTCGCACGCTACATTTGCTAAAGTTGCGTTTCAATCTTTTGTTCTTTATTTGAATTTCTTTTCTTTTCTTTCGAAGGTCACCCCAAGAAGTCACTTTTGATGTTTTTTAATATTCAAATAAAGTAAAATCTGAAAAACCAATCAATAAACATTTTTAAATTACTTTTTATTAAATCATTTCACAAATTCATTTTTTATTCAATATTAGATATCATTTCTTATGTTACAAAATTAATAAATTTAAATTCTTCTTAACATTCATATTCTTCTGGCATGTGATTTCCTATTTGGAGAGGTATGCGCGTTTTATCACAACACCATTTGGCAAATTTGTAGCTGTTTTGACGGACCTTTGACAGGCAGCAATTTATAGCAACATCGTGTTCATTATGAAAGTCGCACCCCTTAGTTGAGTAGCAAAATTCATCAGACTTAAGCATTTGAGCGGCATACGCTCGAGATCCAAAGGCAACATCTGAAGTCCCATTCGATTTATTATTGATTTTAGTTATGAGATTTTGAAGTGCGAACAACAATTCTTCGTTGGGATAAATTTTAAGATATTTAAATGTGTCAGCTTCTTGAGATTCGTGGAATATCTTCTCAAACACTTTGCATGTTTCCATAAGCGGCGTTTTATTTGTCGTTGTATTTCCATCGGCGAAGAGAATTGGCAATTTCTCCAATGGCATAAAGAAATCCATAATCTGTTCCAAGATCGTCACATAATCTTTTTCTCCTTTGGTATTAGGCGGTAATGGATATTTATGTTCTTTTGCTTTCTCTTGCGCGTCAAATTTCGATCCGAGAGGAAGATCTCCAGGGTTGACTCGAATGTGCAAAGTGTCAAATACGCCTTTCATCAAACTGAATTTAGCCACTGCAAGTTCAGCAGGATAAATTCCGTCTTTTCCATTGAAAAATGAAGATGTGGATACAAAATAAAAAACCAAATCCTCCAGTTCTGAAATGAAGAGAAGAAAAGTCATTTACTTGCAATGAGATTCATGAAAAACTTTCATCACCTCCCAAATCTTCTGCATTTTGAAGCATTTCTTGAATATCTTTGGTCATTACTTCATATGTGCGTTTTTCCGATATCTTTGCATCCTCAACTTCTTTTATGTTTTGTCCAAGGGAATTGTATAACACTCGTTCTTGCTTCTTTGGTGTTGGAGCAAAAGTTTCTGTCTTGGCTTTCATATTGTAAAGTTTTTGTTGAGATTCTGACAATTTGTTCCCCTCTGGTCCAGCCAATTGACTCAATTCAGAAACATTTATAATTTTTCCGCGTTTGCTCATTTTATTTTTATAATCCATAGCGAAACACCAAAAACCTGAACTGGAGATACCAATATGGCAAAGAAAAATGCATAAAATATTAAAAATTTAGTTGATAGCGAATAAAATGTAAACATATTTACGGTTTGTTTTTCTTATTCTTATTCTTTGGCATATTTATTAACAATTATTTATTTATTTATACAATTAAAGTATGGATGAAAAGTGTCGCGGTCCCTCTAAGTCTAAACAAATTTTATGCAGGGATTTAAATGGGACTCATTCAACCTGTTAAGCTTGCAGGGCTAGTTGGAGTGCGATCTTTTATTTTTTGAATATTTGACCGTTAAGGATAAAATTTGAATTTGCAAGGATATTTGTTTTTTCCAAATTAGAATGAAAGTTTTCTTATAAAAATGAGCAGTTCCATCTTTTTTAAAATGTCATAAATAAATTTATTTAATGATATATTCTTCTAGATAATCTTTTACATATTCAATAAACGCTTTTTCTTGCATAAGAACTGATTTATTTTTTATGTCGTGTTGAAATTCTTTCCAAGACTTCTTTTTCATTTTGTTGATAGTCAGCGACTTCATTTGATTAACTTTTCTGTAAAAACTTTCATTTTTTATGAATTTCTCAACGGAATCTTTTGATACTAAAGCTGAGATAGAATGACTGCAGTCAATTTCCGCGTTGTCATTAGGTTTGTGGATTTTCATTGTTAATCTTGGTATTGGTTTAACATCATCTAGTTCTAGACTATGATCGATAATTTTTTCTTGATTTACAATTATCATTTCATCGTCCGATAACTCTACTGACTTTTTCATTCCTCTGTTATTTTTCTGCGTCTTAATTTTTTCACAAATACTCTTTGAAAACTCGGCAATATCAGCTTCTTTAATTAAAAGTTTCAAGTCGTAAGTCCTATTGATTATATTTTGTGTCCATTTGTCACCCAACCACAATCCAAGATCTTCTGGCAGATGATAATCAGACTCAATCCAATTCAAACCAGGTTTCTCTTTTATATCTTTTCGAAAACTTAAAAGTAAATTGTAGTGATTTACCACATGCTTACAAAATTCTCTGCTTTGATCCCAAATACTAGCTAAAGTACTGATAAAAACTGTTCCTCTTATGTAGAAACTTCCAGCTTTTATCAGTCCAAGAAAGTAAGTCATACTTCTTTTAGCACTTGAAACAACATTGATGAGCAGCATTGCAAGACCTTGAAGTCTGATAAGAATAAAGTCGAGATTCTGTCGATAAGGTAAAGTGCAAAAAGTGGTTTCCTCATATGAAATAAAGCCTTTAAATATTTCTAAGCTTGTTACAAGATCCAATTTAAGATAACGAAGAAGAGATTGATGACATTTCTTCATTTCATGCAATCCTTTCATCATTCTAAATTGTTTACAGTTCATAAAGATTAGCCGTGATAATTGAGCTGCTTCATAATGAAATTGTTCGACAATTTTAAGCGAGTCAATCGTTTGTTGAAGAATTTTTGTAAATTTCCTAATATCTGAAAATAAATTTTTATGTTTAATTAAATAAAATCATAACTTCTGTTCATGTTTACCTATTTCATTTTTAGATATTTTATAATTAGAGTATGGGGGTATAGGAAGTTCAATCTCATTCCAAACTTCCATTTGTTTTCAAATTTTCCCGCACTTGATTTGTTAACTTAGACGAGATTTTCAAAACAAAATCAGTGTTAAGATTATTTTTTATTTTTTGTGATTTTTGTCTGTAATCAAGCTTTAACTAATATTTATTTTGCAGTAATAAGATACACAAGCACATTGGTAAATTGTAGAATAGGTTAAAGTTGTGAATTCACGATAAATTATCAAATTAAATGAGATTGTTTGAGACAATTTTACACTCCAGAAAACAATTTTTTTTTTCTTTACTTACATAGCTTTCCTAAAATGCCAAGCTTCAACCACGTGAGAAATTTAAATTCAAAACTTCCGTTAAAATTTTAAACATCATCAGAAATGTCTTAAAGAGAAGTAAAAGATTTTCAATAGAGAAAATTTGAGAATGATCGGATACTTGCCAAATATTGAGCTCAAGCTATATTCATGCTTCTATATAATTCTTCTTGTGATAATTCTTTATAATGTTCAATCAATAAGTAACTGTAAGTAATTTATTTCTCAATTTTGTTAAAAAAAATTCTAAAATTAAAAATTTATGAAGCAAACTTGCCGGATTATAATTTTATGGGAAAAGGATGGACATTCCTAAATCGTAAGATTGACGATTATGACGTAGAGTGGCAAACATGGAAGAGTTTCATACGAAACTATTGGTATTGCTTTGTGATGCATTCATGCGTTGCTGAAGTGTTTCGTGTATTAAAATTTAAAGTAAGCTTCCAATTTATTTTGATGAGAAAATTCCAAATAAATTTGTATTTCATTAACAGAATATTTCGATGCTCTTCTTCATCATTGGATCAATATCCTGCTTCATCATGTACAATACTCGTTTTCTGCTTGTCGTGTTACTTCAAACAATAATTTCGTATATCGTCACAACGATGACCAAAAATAAAATTCACGTATGGATACTCGCATCATTTTGGTTAATCATTTTAAATATTCTAAAGCATGAATCGAATATTAAGATAGCAACGGATGTTCTTGACATAGATGAGTCAAAGATTCACGACTTTCTTGTAATTTTCGCTTGGTGTCTCTTAAAGAACATCAGTTTCAATCTTGAACGTTGTTCTGGCGTTTACAACAAAAGCGATGCGAAATTTAAATTCAGTGAATGCCTTGGATATGTTTTCTACTTTCCAACGTTTTTTGGAGGACCACATGTGATTTATAAGCGATACTCAGACATGCTAAAAGGATTTAATGAGATTTTGCCTTCACGAGAACGATATCAAAGCTTCATATTGAATCTTTTGCGTTTCTCGTTTTGGTTCTTCTTGACAGAACTTGCACTTCACTTTTTCTACGTCAACAGCATTGTAATGAACCTCGATCTAAAGTTTCTAGATTCTCTATCACTATTTGGCGTTGGATATCTAATGGGACAATTCTTCAACAACAAATACATCATCCATTATGGTGTCTCGATAACATTCGGAAGATTGGATGGAATTGACATGCCAAAACCACCAAAATGTATTTGTCGTGTTCATAAATATTCTGACATGTGGAAATGGTTCGACAGTGGACTTTATGAATTTCTTTTAAAATACATTTACATTTCTTTATGCGAAAAAAAATCACCAATGTGGCGAAAAATCTTTGCAGGTTTTACAACATTTTTATTCATCTACATCTGGCATGGATTCTTCGATTACATTCTTGTATGGTCACTTTTAAATTGCGTTTGCATTGTACTCGAGAAATTTGTTTACTTCGTCATTGAGGGCGAAGGCTTTGAAAGAAAAGCTTTAAAAATTGTCAAGACTGAGAACAATCTGCATCGGCTGCAAGCAATTATTGGAACTCATGTGTTGATTCCGGCGATAATTTCTAATTTATTTTTCTTTGGTGGTCTGGAAGTTGGATGGGAGTTTGTCAGAAGAATTTATTTAGAAGGAGTTTTTACTTACATTAAAATATCTTCTTGCATTTATTTCTTGTATCCAATTGCTGAAGCTATCAAGCGATGGGAAATTTCCAATAAAAAGTAAAAAGTTTTCATTAACTAAGTTTATTATTTTTCTCGCGATTCTCAAGAATCATCGTATCAATGTCGCATTTTGTTGCAAAATTAATTTCAGTGTTTCTAATGTCGAATTTTCTTAACGTGAAATTATTTTTTAAAGTTTCAAAAATCTTAATTCCTAAAGCATCTCCCAATTTATTTGTTGATAAATTTAAATTTCTCAAAGTTTTGTTTTGTTTGAGAACATAAATTAAACCTTCTTCAATTGATCTGTCGAAGGAACATGAAGATAAATTGAGTGAAACAAGATCAACAATATTAACAAGCGCTAAAATATGAAGCGCGCCTTCAGCCAAAATTGGGTTTAGCTTCAGGTCAATCGTTTCAATCTTTCTTCTTCTTAAGATGTTAGCCAACAGTTTTGCACCATGGGAAGCTGTAGAAATGAAATTTAAATTTTTTTATTTTGTCTTAATGATAATCTCAAATTTAAAGTGACTTACAGATGAAATTATTACTCAACATAATATGCTTAATATTTGGTAAGGAATCATGAGATAAAACACGACTAAATGCTAATAAGCCTGCATCACCAAATCGACAATTTCCCAATGAAATTTTTGTCAATGACGACGATTTATCCAAAGCTCGTCCAATCTGTGTCAACATGATTGCATTCAACTTTGAACTGTGAAATTCAAATTCGTAAAGGTCAGTGTGTGCTAAGCCAGTGACGAATTTCTTGATGTCATTGTCGGTTATTGTTGTACATCCAAGATAGAATTGTGTGTTGATAGTTTTACAATCAAATGTTATCGATAAATATTTTAATTCGCTTAAATGTTCCAGAATAACATCAAATGGAATGTGATCATTCGCAGGTTCATTTGATTCTATTGCAGCTTCGAGATGATCGATTTTTAAACACTTCACAAAAGGACTGCAAAGTTCAATTAAACTCTTCATTACTTCGACGTTGTAGTCTGATGGTTTAAGAGATTCAATCGATTCTGATAAATATTTTTCAATATATATCTCAATCCAAAGCTTTTCACAATTAATATTTTTGATTAAATTCGGCCATTTAACGATAAACATTCGCTTCCAAAAAGCATCGTCCCTGACATGATTACAAAGTTCTGCTAATGGAAGTGATTCAACATCAAGAATATCAGCTAATAAACAACGATTTTCACACACAATGATTTCAGAGAACAACGGAAAACTTGACCAATTGTCAGCAATTGTCTTGAGACAAATTTCAGCTAGCGATTTCGGATAGTCAAAATCCCAATTCAAATTAATTGAATTCAATAATTGATCACATTTCTTAAACACATCTTCCTTTCTTATGTAAGCTAAGTAAATATTTCTATCAACTGTGCTTGGATATCTCATTTTTCTATCGTTTAAAAAGATTTCCTACACTATCAATTTATTGAAAATAGAATTCCCACACATTGTAATTTCTATCGAACAAATATTTTTGACCCACAAAATGTTATTCCATGGCAACATAAAATTGAATTATTTTACTTGTTGCATGCTTCTGAATTTCCGATGAAGTTCGACTTGAAGGTTGACAAGAAAACTGTAAAAAGAAACATTAACAAACACTTTACTTAATCACATATTTTTATATATTTTTTTCATTTTGTTTCTTCATTCATCATTTTTTTTATAATAATAATATTCAATTCTTTCATCGTCTCATTTAATTTTTTTTCGCATATAGAATTTTTAGTTTTCATCATAAAATGAATTCTTTATTTTTGTAACTTTTCTTTCTTTTTTTGTGTGTTTTTCTTAGGTTGATTTCCAATCATTTTATTTTTCAATGAATTGTTTATGATGGCCTAAGATGTTTAATTTTTATTTTGCTTCTCTTTGTTTCAAACACTGAACCACATTTTGTTTGGTAGTCTAGTCAGATTTCTCAGGGTAAAATAAGAAGACAATCAATTTTCCTTATAAAGATTGGCATTTAAAGATCTAATGAAAATTTTGCTGATTTATTATTAAATTACTACAAGAGTTGATGATAGTTTTGTTCTTTTAATTCATCAAATCATCATCTCATCTTATTTATTTAAAACAAACACAAAGAAATAGCAAAAGGAACTGAAAAATTGTGTGAAGCAATTGGAGAGACAAATAAAAAGCTTCATTGAATAACATCAAGTCATTGTGCACTATTTTCATAACATTTTCTTATGGGTTTAGTTCTCGAAACATCATTTGAATTTCTCCCATTCCTTCATAAATATAATTTGTATTTCTTCATGTTCACTACCTAAACAATTAACTAATTTTACAAACTTTTATTTTCCTTCCTTTTCAGCTAACTTGACGGTTTCTCAGTATTGAATCTTCATTATTTAATTCATCATTTAAATTATATTTTGGACAGAAATGATATTTAAAGGAAAATTGATTTCTTTTCTTTTGTGAGAAATTATTTAATGAGTTTTGATTAATTTAAAAGTGAAAAGAATTCTTTTAAGGGTCATTTCAAAATTCTTTTCATTTATTTGCCTGAAAAGTTTGTAAATTTAAGACAAAGTGATGATATTCTATAAAACAATAATTTCAATGTAACATAAATTATCCTTCTCCGACGTTCTTCATGGACAAAAAGAAATCGACAGAATCAAAGAACAAAGAAACAAGTCATCTGACCATATTTCATGTAATTTCTCATTTTTGACCTTTAATACATCTTTTAGTTTACACACATTTAGGATTATATTTATGGCTTATTTTCTAAAACTGATTAGCTTTTTCATTTTTTTTCTCATTTAATTTCTATTTTTCCCTTTCATCGTCTAATATACTTTTAGATATTTTTTTTTCATTTTTAAGTTAGGTTGAAAACTCTTTTCATTCGAAGGTTTTTTTTTATTTTCTTATTGAAGTTTTCTTAGGTTTTCCTTGTTCTCTCAGTATAAGAAAAAAACTTTTTTTTATTTTGTTTGTTTTGACGCAAAAGATGAAAAATCATAAAACATTCCAAACATGTACGTGACATACCTAATTATTTTAATTTTTATCATTTATAGTTTATGGGTTTAGCATTTTTTTCTTTCTTAAGTTTCTTAATTGATTCTCGAAGCGACTTAGCGTCATCTTTTCATTATCATTTGGATTTTATATATTCTTTGCATTTTGAGCGGATGGAAAAGACTCATTTTAGTTGGTAAGTTGTTGCAATCTGTTTTACTATTTATTTTCTTATAAAATTTATCTCTCAATTTCATTTTCTTTGATTTGGTTTATGTTCTTTGTGAGTATAATAATTTTAAATGTAAATTTGTTTCAATACTGGATTCATCCAGAAGATATTCGGATGAGGAACATTCTTTATTTCTTTCCTTAATTTTTTTCAATAGGAGACTTTCTTTCGATTGTTTCATTTCAAAGCTCGAAGAATGAGCTTCGATACAAAAAGCGCTCGATGACAGATTTCTCCACAACTGTCATCAACTAATGAAATTGCAAAATGTTTTCTCTCAAAAGCTTTCATTGACTTATCTGTCAAGCAATTTGATAGAAATGAATGAGAAAAATGACTCTTCGAAATTTTTTATTCCAAGCTGCTCTCAAAATGAGAGGGGCAAATATTTTGACGCAACTTGAAGATCTCGCAAGACTCAACTTCCTCGCTATTGAAACAAACTTTTCAATTTCAATCTCTCTGCTTAGGAAATATTATTGAGATGAGGTAAATAGAGTCGATGGCAATAAAAATGGCATTTAGAATAATTTCATCTATCGATTTTAAAAAATTAAAAAGCATTTTGTGATCATGAAGGGGAAAATTTGTGTGTATGATAAAAAGTTCGTGTTTATGTGTGTGTTTGTGTATAGATAAGTGCTTTTTTAGCTTTCACATCAATAAAATTCATATCCAATTCAGCTTTTTCATTCATCTTACTTTCTTATCTTTTAACAAAATACTGAATTGGCTTCCAACATTTAAAACTCTTTCCCTTTAAGCTAAAATAAAGTTGAATTTAAATTAAAATAAACAAGTATTTAGATAGATATTTTAACGATAACATAAAATTGAACTAGATTTCCACATAAATTATTTTTCACTTTAACTTAGCATCATTTTGATCTTTTTCTTTAAATACAAATCTTTCTTTTGTAGACATATGCTGATAAGAAGAAGATATTGTTATTATTTGTGCTAGTTTAGAAGATTCAAAAGTAAATCTTACATGAATATTCTTGTGATGATGATTCAAATGGAAGAAGATTCTATCTTTTCTCTTATTATATATGCTCAACGGTTTCAGTTTTAACATCGAGGAAAATAACTAAAAGATGGTTTGTTAAATGATCTAACGATAATTGTAATAAATAAGATTCAAGAATTTTCTTTTTTTTTGGCTTGATTTCATTAAACTTAATCTTAGAATATGAAAATCGTGGGATTAAAAAAGAGATTAAACTTAGGATTAAATTTCAATCCTTCAATAAATCCGAATTAGCAGAAACTTAATCTTAATCTAGATTTTAATCCACCGATCTTCACATTCCTATTTTAAAATATTTCATCGATAATGTTTTATGGCGAAAGCTACACGAGTTTCGCTGGTTTTCTGACTAGATCAGATTCAAACTACATACTTGATATGGGAAACACAATAAAAAAAATGGTTTTATAATTAATTAACAAAAATACTTTTAATGGTACCACGAGTTCGTGAGTGACCTGCTTAAGAAGCATTGTTAAGTGTGCGTTATTTGAATAAAAGATCTCTGATTAAAGATTCATTGAAACGATCAGGAGATGTTAAGCTGATAATGGAGATTTACTTCCATTTCACTTCTAATTCTCTGATACTTGTCGACGTTTCTTTGCTTGTTAAATTCGAAACAAAAATTCATTTTCTTCTCGCATAAAATCGTCTTTTTTGTACTCTCTTTCGCTAAAAAAAACTAAGTTAAGCTTCAGTAAATCGCGTCTTTCTTATATTCGAATAAAAAGTAGTGAAAGTGGAAAAATTTCTTTAAAAACAAAAATGTAACTAAACAGTTTACATCTTGCGACTTCACGCACAAATAAATATTTTGCATTTTCTTTGCCGTGGCGCAGCCGACACGAATAAAAAATAAACAAATCACTTTTCTTTTCGAGATTTAAGGAGAAAAATATTTAAAAATAGGGCAAAAATAGATTTGTGATGAAGATGTGTGATGGACCTAAACAAAAACAACACAAATCAGCATGTGCGATTAACACATTCCGCGTGTGTCGATAATTTTCGATAAACAAAATTTTCTTTCTCTTTCTCTTATTTCGTTCCGTTCGTTTGTGTTTCGGGCGGAAAACACATTTTCCTGTTTTCTTTACTTTTCTTTACTTAGCGTCATTAATCATTTTTGTTTTTAAACTCCAATTTTTACGTTCTGATAATTAGATGAAAGGAAAATTCAAAACGCATTGTTACCTTCTTTTTATGTGGAGATTTGAACATAAAAACGTAAAAAGATTTTCCAAAACTATGTCAAGGTCCAGCTGATAAAAACTGAAGATTTTCTTTCTTTCTTTTTCTTGCCTTAACAGCAAATCTTACGCTCCGGTCCGAATTCTTTATTAACAAAAGAAAATCCAGCAAATTCTTCTTGATTAATACATCGAACGACATCGTTTGGAACTGGCGTCAGCACAGGATCTTCTCGAGTAAATTCCGTATCGAAATTGACGGCATCTTTTGCGCTTCTCTGAAGGATGAAAGGAAATTTTTAAGAATTGAAACTTGAATGAGATTTATTGAAGAAACTTACAACTCTTGGTCTAAATGGTGGGCGAACTTTACGCTGCTCCAAAGCATCCCAATCCATATCTGTGTAAATTTAACTTTAATAATAAATTTATAAGAATTAACATGAAATTATTGTCACCTTTGAAAAACAGATGCTTTCTAATTGAATCTTCACCATTTGTGCAGCCTAATCGACGTGCTGGGTTCTTAGTCATAAAACCTGAAATCATTGAAAAGAATGCAACGTGAAAGAAATGTTAGGAAAGAAGGAAAATTGTCAAACCTTTCAAAATATTAACTGCTTCGCGTGATAGCCAAACAGGATACAAAACATCATCCCGTAAAATCGCTTCAAATAAATCATCCTCGTTGTCAGCCTCAAATGGCGGCTGTCCAGCCATCATTTCATACATTAAAACACCTAACGCCCACCAATCAACGGACGGTCCATAATCAAGTTCCTGAAGAATCTCAGGCGCGATATAATCGGGCGTACCGCAAAAAGTAGACGTTAAGTTTCCACCAGTGATGCCTTCTTTACACATTCCAAAATCAGCCAACTTGCAATGACCTTCAGTATCCAAAAGAATATTATCCAACTTTAAATCGCGATAAATGACGCCATTACGATGCAAAAATTGAAGTGCAAGTGTCACTTCAGCTGCATAAAATGCAGCACGAGCTTCATCAAATTTACGTGCACGTTGAATTTGAAACATCAAATCGCCACCATTGACGTACTCCATGACGAAAAATAATCGATCAGGAGTTTGGAAGCATGAATGGAGTGCAGTGAGAAATGGATGGCGGGCAGCAAGAGCTAAGATTCTCTTCTCCGTCATTGTACAATCGACATCATCGTCTTGTAAAATTGCATCTTTCTTTAGCACTTTGACAGCATAAATTTCGTCGGATCCTTTACGTTCAGCAAGCATAACTTTACCAAATGATCCCTTTCCGAGTACTTTAATAAAGTTGAAATCAGTTAACATCAACTTTCCAGCGGACATTTGTCCCGAATCATCCTGACGACTTCCACCACCACTTCCACTTGTTCCCGGCTTTTGATCTTCAGACGAAGCGCTTCGCGTTGAAAGTGTGTCAAGTGACATGGCATCGTCACTTCGATCACTTGTTGATGAGTTGTCACTTGTTGACAGATTTATATATTTTGATCGTCTTGGTGGTGTTGATTTATCCATTTTGATGCCCATTTCATTGAGAAGTTCCGCCAATTGCTTTGTATTTATTCCACAATTATTAGCGACATTTTCTTGGCATCGACGATGAATGTTCATGCTGCACACTTCACATTTTAAGCCTTGACGAATGATACCATAAAGCCTACGAAAAGAATAAATTTAATTGTTTAGTTTGATTTAATTCAATTAATTGAATAGAAATAACTTACAAGCTACCGCAATGATCGCAAAACGTTAAACGTTTGAAACTATGAACGTCAAACCGATGCGGAATATTTACATTGAAGCGTTGACTGTTGACAACTTCTTCAGTTGTTGTCTCATTTTTTGGCCTTACTTCATCTTTCTTTTTCGGACATTTGGTGACAACAAGCTGATGGCAGCGTTTATGAACAACACATGTGCACACTAAAATGTAATTTATGAATAAACCTCAATTTAGCATTTTCAATGATCTCACAAATTGAACAATTAAAGCATTAAAATAAAACTAATAAACTAAATACGAAGTAAGAATGAAGAATGAATAAATGCAGATTGTTAGGTAAAACAAAAATAAAAGTTTAATAAATAGAAGAATAAATAAACGAATGAATGAATTTTTCCCCCCAAAATAAATGAAAGATTGTGCTCTTATTAAATATCCCAAAACCATAAGAAGAATGAAATATAAAAACATAGAAAGCAGTAAAAGAAAAGAAATTTTCTTGTTCATTCATTAAAATGAGATCTTATGGAGATCCTTACCTTGGCACTGGTAACCTTGCTTCCCCAGGCCCCTGAAATTGAGCAAGAGAGTGCACAAAAAAATGTTCACGAGTTAAACTTCTTTTCGATGTTTTGCGTTTCAATAAAATTAAAAAATATCCCATCAAGTTATTTACTTTAGTTAGTAACTTAATTTTTCCCGATCATCTTCTAATTATCTTAGCATGCAAATCCCATTTCTTCTTTTTAGTGTAGTGTGTTTAACTAATAATCATAAAAAGCTTGACTCACCAAATGAATTCACGACAATGCGAACAAAAAGTTGGTTGACGTAAAAATGTCGCCATAAACTTGTGACCATTCACTTGATGAACTCGACGTCTCATCGCACCACGTCGACGATTCAGAAACGGTTGGTCTTTGTTGTTCGTTCGTCTCATCGCCATTTGATTCTGCTGATTGGTTTCTAAAACAAACAATTTCATTTCTTTAAGTTCGTTTCATCATGAAAAGTTTCTCGATTAACATGAAAAGTTTTATCATCACGTTTCTTCATTTACTTCATCATCATTTATGTAAGTCAGCAACACTCGAGTGTCGAGTGAAGATTTCTTACCTTGCGACCATCGCAAATCAATTTTAACATGAATTCTCCCAGATGGCTCTAAATCTACCCAAAAGTCCGTTTGATTTTGTTCACTCCGTGCTATCAAATCCTCAAATGTTATTGTGGTATTGGCATTGAAGACATCATCGATTGGTGCTTTGTGGAACACGGTAATGCCCAACGTATTGGCATTTTCTACTTCATGTATGAATTCTTCATTCCAGACTGGATCAAATGTTTTCTGTTTAATGGTGGAGCGATCTGGAAACCATAACAATGGCGAAGATGAAAAGAAGAGAAAGAAAAATAATTAAGAAAAAATAAATATACGGTTTCGTCTATAAAACGAATTATTTTGTTATCGTAACGTAACACATATGAGCGTCTATTTAAGTGAAAGAATATCAAGATCTCTGTTTAATCAATGATAAAGATGTAAAAATATTTTCAGTAAGTTTCATCTTTTCAAGGTTTATTAAGACTCATGTACAGGAAAGAGGCCAGTCAAGGGCACTTTTTTCATTCTCGCAATCTTTCATTGAAAGTTCAATAAAATTGAAAAGAAAATGTCAAGGAAATTTTCAAAAAGGAAAAGAAAAAAAATGCAAGCGAGCTTAACGAAAGAAAATGCTCGAGATTTTTCGCTTTTTTCTCAATTTTTCTTTTCTTTCGTTTTTTTCTCTTCTCCCTTACAATGAAATTGAACGAAAATTTTCATCCTTGGGAAAATCATCATCGCAGGGATGGGCGACATTCAGCGTGATGGTCACCGAAAATTTAAAGGGAAAAAGAAAAGAAATGATATTCATGACCATGTCGACGCACTGAGCATGTCTTACATCGTTTCACATTGGCGCCCGATTCGAAAAGAGACGAGAAAAAAGTAATGGTTGCTCCTGCCCATTTTATCGACCCGAAATTTTTTTCCCCCCAACATTGTGAAAGTTTCATCGGAAAATTATGGTCGACGCACGATAATGAGCGATGAAAATGGAACACATTGACACTCACCTATGAATTTTTCGTCCACATTCAATGATACATAAGGATCCAAATCCTTCTTGTCGTTATTTTTGCCAAAGTTTAATTCGTGTCTTTTCTGATAATCTGTTGGTCTTAAGCCACTTGCTTCGCATACTTTTACCCTCAGCGTGCCCGTAAACATGGTGATGAGTTGTGTGTGCTGAATGGAAGTTTACGGTCACGAGCGAATGCGTTGGAGGCTCTCGATCGGGTGAAAATCGCGCGATTTTTCTTGTGCAAAAAAAGTAAATTGAATTAAAAAATCCTCCTCTTGACACTCTCGAAATTTTCGTTTTGCATTTGTGCTTTTCGGGCTGGTTTTTGATCAATATTTTTAGGATTTGACGATGCACTGGTGTTTAATGCATGGAATTGTTGTTTAATAAAAGTATTTTACAGAGGTTTCATCGAGAAAACTCATTTTTTTCTTGACTATTTTAATTTTCGTTTCTAATATTTTTTTTCTCTTTACCTACAATCGTAAATGTTGATATGAAAATATTTTATGTCTGTCTGTCAAAAAGTTTTCAGTTTTTATTCATTTATTGTTCTATAACTAAGGTTGATAAGTGATTTAACTGCTTATTTTTGTGTGAAAAGTAATTTTCAATATTATTAAAAGAGATGACATATCTTTATTTAAGAATTTCTACACTTCAAAGAATGATTCACTTTCGTTCTTCTGTACAAATTAAAAATGCCGTTAAATTTTCTTAACTTCGAATTTTATTTTTATTTCGATAAGACTCAATGAAGACACAAATTTTTCTTTGTTTTTCAAGAATTCACGATATCAGTGACAAGACCAGCAGCAATGGTTACACCACCTACTCTCAACATCACTCTTCCCATTTCCTTTAAATCTGAGTAACGCTCAATTGCTATTGGGCGTTGGAAAGATAATTCAATTAATGCACATGAATTATTCCCTAAAACTCTTGGATTCTTCTTGATGACCTCCCCCGTTCCTTTATGTAGCTGTGCTTTGAGTTTTGAGACAGTAGCAGGTTCAACCAACGAATGGTGGTGTAGTAAAACTGGATATCCGATTGTTATTGGAGTTTTGACGTTGAACACAATAATTCTCACTTGAATCTTTGTCGCTAATGGAACTGGATTATTCACATCGGAAAGGATCGAGCCAATCGATACATTGGAGGCATCTACACCTGAAAGTGTCACTGATACTTGATCACCAGCAAATGCTGCATTTACAGGCATCTCGTCTATTGTAAGATTCTTAACTTGTCCTAATTCTTTCGACGGGCACACAATAATTTTGTCATTGACACAAACGTGTCCACTTGCAATACGACCTGAGAGACAAAAGCCTGATGTCAAACCTTTATAAACATCTGACACTGACATTCGGAATGCTTTGTCAATTGATCGCTCGGGAGTCTTAAAATTGTCTAATAAATAAATTATATGATTGAAGTGAACATCTTGGTTGCAAATAAAAAAACTTACCAACAACATTCAACAATGTTGGTCCATTGTACCACATTGTTAACTCTTTAACACTTGCTGGCTTTACGAGATTTTCACCTGTCTTTAAAAAAACATTAATTTGAATATTTAATTGAATTAGAAAATTATGAAACTTACCAATCCGGAGCATGGTATGTAAGTCACATCTGATTCTTTAAAACCAGCCTGTTTAAGAAAGATTTTGAGTTTACCTACAATATCATCGAATCTGTCTTTAGACCAATTCTCATTATCAAGTTTATTAACAGCAACACAAATTTGACTGACGCCCAATGATCGAACTAACAACGCATGTTCTCTTGTTTGTCCACCTTGTTCAAATCCAGTTTCAAATTCACCTCGAGTTGCATCGACAACGAGAATGGAGCAATCAGCTTGAGTCGCTCCACATATCATGTTGGGGATGAAATCGCGATGACCAGGAGCATCGAGAAGTGTTATCTGATAAGTTAAATTAAATTAATGATTTAGAAATCTTAGACAATTGACCAACTTTTTACCTGCTTTGTAGGTGTTTCAAATCTTTGAAAGCCACAATCCATGGTGATGCCTCGTGTTCTTTCCTCGCCAGTTTCATCGAGAATCCACGCATACATGAAACTTTGCTTACCAATTTTCTTACTTTCCTGCTCATATTTATGCATAACACGTTGTGGAACATTTCCCAAGTCATATAACAAATGTCCCATCATCGTAGACTTTCCGGCATCAACATGTCCAATGATAACCAAATGAACTTGTTGTTTCTCTTCCCCACGTTCTTTTTCAAATAATTCACGAGCATTTCTGATCGCTTCCTTCGCTTTCATAAGTTTTGCTTCATCATCTGGTGAATTGCGACCTGAGCCACTTGGTGTAAGACTTTTGGGTGAGTTAATTTCAAAGCCTTTTGTTGTTTTCTTTGTCGCTGGTGTTACTGTAATTGTTACTTTTTCTTTCTGTTGTTTTAGCTGTTCAGATTTTTCTAATAACATGTCACCAATGCCTGACGATGTCATTTTCACGATCGAATATTACGAAATGAATTTGATAATAATTAATTAACGATTATTTACAAAATTATCTTATTATTAATTAAACAATGAAGGAATTCAATTATTTTTTGTTCTTATTTAAATGTTGGAGGATTTTATCATCAGGTGAAAGAGTGTCGAATGTGAAGCGATTAATTCTATTTCTATGTTCATATCCATGAAGAATTTTTGGAACTTTTTTTCTGAATCTTCCACGAATGACTTTTCCAACGCAAGTTAAATTTTTAAATGTTAAATTCTTATAAGCTTTTTTAAGGTGAGAAAATGTTAACTGTTCGCATTGCTCATCTATAATTATTTTTTTTGATGTTACTCTCTCACTCACAACATCACAATCAATAAATTTCGGCACGAAATCTTCAAATGAATCTTTTCGCTTTTCATTAGACAATAAAATAGAAAAAGTCGTTTGTTCGGCATCAGAAACAAGAGCTGCTTTGAGATCAATCACAAATTTATTGCCAGAAGATTCGTCCTTCGATGGAAAAATCTCTGGAATAGCAAATTTATCTGGTTTTACGTCTAACTGTTTCTTTGCAAAATCTGATAAGCTTAAAGAACTTTCTGTGACAGTTGAAGAAATTCCAAGTTTTGGAAGTACAAAACCACCTGATGATGGCAGAAGCTTGGCTGATCCAAGCGAAGGCAGTTTAAATTGTGATGTTGAAGGCGCTTTGTTCTTTTCTAAATGATATTTTCCAAAATCCGAAAGTGTCTCAAACTTCGGTTTCTCTTCTAACTTATCACCAACTTTTAAATTACTTAAATCTTACCTTGCAACAAGATGACAATCCAGGAAAATATTTTTTTCAACATCAATTTAAGTTTACAGATGTTTTATGAAAAAAAATTAAAATGATAATGAAAAAGTTAGTCAGATCAATTTAGTTTTATAGTGAAAATATTTCACAATTTAACTCAATAGAAGAATTTCGTTTTTTCTTCTTTTCGAGAAATCAAAAGATTGTGAAACATCATACAAAGATAAGTTTCATAAGTCTACATACCTTTTTCAACTTCAGTCAGTTTTGTTTTCTTGTTCTGTTGTCTTGTTAGAGTGTCATTCGTGAGCAGTAAATCCAAAGCTTTGGAGTAATCATAATCGCAAGAGATGATAGCATCGCAAAGACGTTTATCTGAGAAGGAATCACCAGATATATTCCGTATTTCTTCCATACAAGAAAGCAACCTCGCTTTATCAAGATCATTGAGTTCTGGTAATTGAAAACTTTCGGAATCTCTCCGGTTTTTCTCATGGAAAACTTCTTCATCTTCATCTTCATCTTGTTCCTGTATGTCTTCATTTTTTAATAGAAAAGCATCTAAACTTGATTGTCCACGATTTCGATCGAATATCCATTGATTAGCATCTGTTGGTGAGATACATTCCGGCTCATCAGTCAGCGATCCAACAGGATAATCATCGAATTCTAAGTTTTTGAGTTAAAGGAAAAAAAATTCAAAACAAAAATATAAAGAATCCATTTACGGTATTAATTAATATTCATTTTAATTTACCGTCATCATAGTTCATAGTTCGAACATTTCTGTGTCGCGACATTTTTAATTTGAAGATGTGAAACTACAGGAACTTAAATTAAAGTAGAAATTTAAAAATATTTATGATGTTTTGGCAAATTATTTTGAACGCACTCCTTCGGAATTTCGCATGTTTTCGAAATTAAAATTTTTACACCTTCGTTCCCCTCGTTCATTACTAACGTGCGCGCGCTTGACGTCGGACTACCCGGCACTTTGACTTGCATGGATTTGACTTACCAGTTTTCATACAAAGCAACTCGAGAAATTCGTCCGGGTGAGAAAATTGTACACACTACACCCGAAACTGACTTTCTGGAAGGCGCGAGTGTCAGGTAGAGAGTGTGGACCTCAGACTAAACGTATACCAAAAGTCAAAATAATGAATCAGAAATTATAATCATTCGTGAAAATACTGTAATAACAATAAGATATCTTAAAGAAAAGCTCATAATTTCTTAAAAACAAACAGTACAAAGGTCTGCATAATCAGGAAAGCAGGAGATATGGAGCTTATATCGAATTCAGCTCATTCTCAAACATTTTGGACTTATTTAGTGTTTTTATTCATTGAATTAATTTATACAAAAGGTGAGTTAAAATTTATTCAATTACTTTTGCTTATTAGTTATATCCAAGATTGAGAGACATTATGAAATCTCTGTTAGTTTTCTGAGTTTACTTAATGTTTATTTTTCCTAAAATTTATGTTTGAAATGAATTCGAAAAGAGATGAAAATAAGTTTGCAATATTCTGATGAAAACTTCCGAGAAATATCTTTCTTTTAATCAATCTGTTTAAGATTTAAATTGTTATTTAGAGAAATGATGTCATAATATGTTTAAACGTCTCTTAATATCATTCAAGACCGCTCATTGAATCGATCTTATTTGTAAAATGTAAAAAAGAGAAAAAACCACGTCATGCTTAAACCCACATACTCATACAAACAAAATGTTATCAAATTTTTGATTTTTTATTGTTCCAGGTGCAGAATCAGCATCTTCTAAAGCTGAAGTTGAAAGACATTTAGAGCTAGGAAGAGATTTCCTTGCTAGAGGACAACTGCAAGATGCACTGACACATTATCATGCTGCTGTTGAAGGCGATAGCCGCAATTATTTAACATTCTTCAAAAGGGGAACTGTTTATTTGGCACTTGGTAAAGCTAGACTTGCCATTAGTGACTTGGATCGTGCGTTGGAACTTAAACCAGACTTCACGACAGCAAGAGCACAAAGAGGGAGTGTCTATTTAAAAATGGGTGACTTCAATAAAGCTGAAATTGATCTTTATAGCGCTCTTCAAGAAGATCCTTACAATGAAGAGACAAACTATCTTTATCAAAGAATCAATCCAGCTCGTGAACAACTAGACTTAGTTCATGATGTGATGAAAAACCGAGATTATCAAACAGCAATTACATTATTAACACAATTACTTGAAATATCCCCATGGTGCCCAGAAGTTCGAGAACTTAGAGCTCAATCACATTTGTTTATGGGTGATCGATTATCAGCAGTTTCTGACTTTCGCTCAGTCAATCGATTAATGCAAGATGGTTCGGATGATCTCACAAGTCGTAAGTTGAAAATGAATTTTAAATTAATTAACGTAAATTAAATTCAATTCTTCTCTTTAGACATTTTCAAACTTTCAAAACTTCTTTATGAGATTGGACATGCTGCTGATGCTTTGAAAGAAATTCGTGAATGTTTGAAGCTTGATCCCGAACATAAGCTTTGTTTCCCATTCTATAAGAAGATTAAAAAGATTGATAAATTCATAGGCGATGCTCAAATGTATCAAGAGAATAATGAATATGAAAATTGTATCTCGTCAGCTGAGAAAGTTCTTAAAAATGAAAAAGAGGTTCAAATGATAATCTTCGGTGCCAATCAACTTCTTTGTAGCTGTAGTGTGAAGAATGATAAATATTCTGATGCCATCACTTATTGTAATGCGGCCTTGAAAATCGATAAAGATCCACACACACTTTGCGATCTCGCTGAAGCACTCATAGGTGAAGAAATGTACGATGACGCTATTAGAAGCTATCAAGAAGCTATGGAAATAGATGATCATTTGCAAAGAGCAAAGGAAGGTGTCGAGAGAGCGAAAAGACTGCAAAAACAAGCTGAAAAACGAGATTATTACAAAATTCTTGGCGTAACTCGATCAGCAACTAAACAAGAGATTGTCAAAGCTTATAGAAAGATGGCACAGAAATGGCATCCAGATAACTTTGCAACTAATGAGAGTGAAAAGAAAATCGCTGAGAAGAAGTTTATTGATATTGCTGCAGCAAAAGAAGTTCTCACCGATCCAGAGAAACGTGCACAATTTGACAATGGTGAGAATTATAAAAAAATAATTAATTCAACTTGAATTAATTTTTATTTCTTTAATTTAGGTGAAGATCCACTTGATCCTGAAGGAAAAGCAAACGGATTCAGACATGGCAATCCCTTCCAGCACTTCCAACATCATGGATCTCCTTTCCAATTCAAATTTCACTTCTCGTGAAATGATTTCTTTCATAACATGTTTGCCTTTGTTAAATAAATTTCTAATTGATTTCAAATCTCTGTTGTAATAATATTAATGGAAAAAATAGTCAATTGTGATGAAAGATTTTATTATTTCTTAAGTAGAATCTTATTACATTCAACGGATGATTTGCTTGCTCGTTGACATTTCTTCATTTCATTTGCTAATTTTAAATTTCTTTTTTCTTGAAATACTGTAAATAAATTGAAAATATTAAATTAAACGAGAAGAATGTGATGATTTTAATATTCCAGAGTCTCATCAGCTTCGGAAATATCACTTAGATGCAAATATGAGACACTGGCAATTTCAGTTTTAAACGAATCTGTTTGATCTTCAGTTTTTTCAGTGCTTGCATCAGAGGCAATTGAAGTTTTAGTTTGATCTTCAGTTGATGGTTCTTTCAAGGGTTCGTAAACAAAGGAGTTCTCAGAAACTGTGTTATCGTAAGTATCGTTGGCAACTTCAAATCCAATTGGAAGTGACCATGAATCAGTAATAGGATCGTCGAAATTTGCTTGCTCTGTTTTATAGAAATGACGACCAGGGATTTTTTCTTCATTCTCAAGCAAGCACCATTCAGCAACATGATATCCCAAATCCTTGACTTTTGCTAAAGAACAGAATCTACTTCGATCTTGGGAATTATGAAAATCACATCCAATGGACAAAGCTGCAACTTCATAACGTCCGAAATTAGCTTTAGCCATTTGAAGGCAACTAATAAATTTTCCAACAATGCCAACATCAGATTTTCGTAATTCATTACATTTATCATGAAGTTTCATTAAAAGATATTCAATTGGAACAGTATTGAAGACAGAAGAAGATTTTCCATTCATTTTTGAAATCTTGAGCAATGCTGAATTGTCCATTTCGTGACCTTTGCTGTTGCGACCTGAATCGACGAAGAATGGTGGAAAAGTTTCTTCGTCACTTCCTACAAACTTTTGAATTTTAATGAAAGCATCTTTATAATCAGTGATATCTTCATTTTTGAATTCTTTGTTTGATTCAACTGATAATGGAATCATGTGAGTTTCCTCGCAAAGTGTCATAAATTCATGTGAAGCGCCTAATGGCAATTCTTCTTGATCAATAATGAAACTCATGGTTTTATAAACTCCTTGAGCCAAACTGAATTTTGCAACTGCAATTTCAGCAGGGAAAACACCAAAGGCTGATGTTTTAATGTAATATGAGCAACTGAAGATGTAAAATGTCTTTTCCTTAAGTTCTGAAAGAGAAAAGTTTATTAAAGTTGGAAAATATTTCATGTAAATAAGACTTACGTTCGTAGTTTCCTACGGGTTTTAAAAGACTTTCAACAGTGTCATTGTAATCGAAAGGAAGTTCTTCCTTTTCTGTTAATTTATTTCCTTTTAACTCAATGGCAGCCATGGACAACAGAATTTCAGAAACAGCTTCGTCTGAAATTCTTTTCGATGATTTTTTGAATTCTTTACGTTGAGAAGAATTCATTTGCTGAAATTATGGTACATTCAATGATAGGAATTACATAATTAAAGGAATTTTGAAGTTACCTTCCAGAGCGTATCAGCTTTTTCTCGAGCTTCATCAAACTTTAATTCAGGATTTTCTCGATGATAACTTTTAACAAAATCCCAATACGGTGATTTTACATTTTTGGTTCTCTTCTTCGTTAAGATTTTACGCTTTATTGAGATTTGTTTATTAGTCGATGGATTAAAATATAAATCAACTTTTTCCTTGTCAGCCATTTTTAATAATTATTCGCTTTTTTCAGAATTTTAGATAAGATACTTAGAAAACGAACTTGTTTAGGCTATCCCGAAGATGTTCTTGGTAAAAAAATTAATATAAAAGTATTAAATTGCTTATTAAATTAGATTTGACTGATCACTATCAACGATGTTTATCACTGAGTTCGGTTATGAGTATCAAAATAAACTACGCGAAAAATTTGAAACTTCCGTTAAAATATTATAACAAAACAAGCGCTTGTCAAACCCTGCACTATCTCAGAGAGCGAAAAAATCAACGAGAGAGTCAAACATAAAATTTTTACTTATTGATGTACAATGCTTAAGCTTCAGAAAGTTAATATCTTTTAAAGCGAAAAGACGCGTGTCCCACAGTACCAAATTATTTTTCTAAGGTGATTGATTGTTTTAAAGATCGAATTGAGTTGGATTTTCTGAAGGTTCTCTTATATTGAATGGTAGAAATTAAACTTGACCTTGAACTGCCTACCGTAAACAAAAATCTAAAAAAAAACGATTATCCAACTCAATAAATAAGTGATTTTGACCGATCGATTAATTGTTTGATATATCCAATTGCAGTTATTTTATTATACAAATATAAAGGCAAACATGTCAGTTAACAGAGCAGCCAAATCAGGTAAGAATCATCGTCGTCCTTATGTTGCGTTTTAACGAAGTTAGTAACATTTACCCTTCTTCGGTTTCTCAGGATTTGCAGCCGAGGCACAAAGAAAGGTGAGTCTTTTTAAATACAGTATTCAAGTGAGTCCTGGGTGCGGTCAACAACTCCTTTCAAGGTGATCCAATATTCGTTACGAAACAATTATCAAACTCGCGTATTTTGTTGTCTTATCTGCAAAAAAGAAAAACACTCGAAAGTTAACAATGAGGTGATTGTAACTTACACTGATGATAAGCCACGTGAATGTATCTATAGATCACCAAGAACCAAAAGTTTATTAATCGGGCGTGAAAGAAGAATCCAACACTCATACAAAGCTACTAAGAAAGTCGATGAACACATTCATAAGAAAGAACCAGCCTGACTAAAGTTTCTTCTTTCAACTTCTTCTTCAAACGCTTACTTCTCAAATTCGGTCTCTAAGAACAGAAAACAGATCGTAATAAGAAATCGAAAAAAGAAGAAAATTCGTTATCGTCATGTTCTTCGAGTATTTTTATTTGTGTATTAAAATTCTTAACCCCATACACAAAAAAAAAATATTAAAGTCGGTGAGAAGCGGCGAAAGAGAGCGAAGAAAACAAATTTGACTCCGTGGTATTAGACGGCATGTAACGCTTTATGTGTTTGTCGATGATGATGTCATGTGCGCAATGTTCTCATCTTTAATTTATTAGAATTACTATTCAGAAATGCTCAATTTAGTGTAAAGTTCTTGATGGATTGCAATCACATCGGTGAAGTTAATAAAAAGTGATATCATAACAAAAACATGCAACAGATGGACATGACGTAATCTGAGGGTAAAAGTCATCCGCAAAAATTTTGAAGCAGTCAAATATTTGAGGACTACAAACACAACTGATTGAATGATTTCTTTTTGTACACATAGACTATGATTTATGTAAAGTAATTAATGAAAATCATGTTTAGTTAGATGTTGCTTTTTTCTCTCTGTTGGATTTCGCGAAAACTCACGAGTCACCCGCTGGCTTTAAATATTTCTTATAGTTTTATTTTATCAGATCTAATAGCATGGCGGAACTGGAAAGCTCATGAAAATTATGGCATTTTTAGACCATAAATCGAGGGCAATTGACTGCAAAAAAATGCTTTTTATGATCCCAATTTAAACTTCATCTCGATTAAAGCATTTCACAAGATCGTTCTCTGATTAATTGAATTGATCCAATGGAGAGAAAAACCATTGAAAATCGAAAATGAAATTGAGCTCATGCATTAAGTGGAAGACACAGAAAGTAAAGATGACGTCAATAGTTTGAATGTTTAACGAGAAGGTTTCAAGTCAAAGAATTTAGAAGAGATTAAAATAGAGAATGGCAACAATAACTGACAAATTGTTGAGAAGATCGAAAATATCAAACAATGAGACGGTTGAAAAGTCTCTTGCTTGCTTTCAAAGATCCTGGTTCATTGCCAGATATAATTTTATAGCCGAAAATTTCAATCAAAACGATGAAAGATGAGATAGATTTCCGTTGAGATTTTGTATTTTTTCATTCTTCGATGAACTCATGCGTGAGTCTTTTTCGTTTGATTGTGTTACTTGCTTGTTAAGACCTTAGAATGATGATTAATCATAATTCACGGGAGCTTATGATCATATGATTCAAAAACTTCATTTGAATTCTTAAAATATTTTCGATAGTTGAACTTTGCTTTTAAATTTCATTTTCCAATCGACAAACATCACTCTTTGGCATTCCATTCGATTTCAATTCTTATGCCGTTAAATTCGTGTCATTTATTCTCAACTTTCTCAATTGACTTCTCTTGAAGATCGTCTTAAGATTATGTCGCGATATTTCTACGAATTTTCTACTCTCTTTTAATCTCATTCACGTTGTAAACGAACAAACCCCAATCTTAAAATTGGATTTTTCTTTACTTCACTCCGAAGAAATGACTTCGTTTAACACAAACTACTGAAAAATAAAAAAAGCAATGAAAGATCAGCAAGAGCCTGTGAAAAGAAGAAAGGAAAAGAAGAAAAAGTCTCTTTCAGTTCATATCTTCGACCGACAAGTCACTTTATGAACGACAATCCGGCAAGAATCTTTCATATTCTCGCGAGTTGAATGATCAACAACAACAACAATCACTTTTAAGAAACTCACAAAAGCTTTTCGTGAGCGATTAGAATTCAAAGCTGGTTAATAGTTGATTACCATTTTAAGATAATATTGAAACCATCTGTTGTTATATAAACTTTTGATGCTGCGAGTGCAGAATTCATAAGCAATGAAATTAATTTCTGAAGCTTCTCCCACCAATTTCTTTCTCAACATTTTGTTTTCTTTTTAATTTCTTTCCATATTCGGATGTTAAAAATTTTATTATTGTTTCTTTATTCGTGCTTCAATTGACGACAATCTTGAGTTTAAATTTAAACATGCAAAACGATATCTAGTCGAATGCAAGCAATGTTTTCATTTCTTCAATGAAAATCGTATGTATTGTAAATTGGCCAATGCCTTAAATGGACTTTCGTTGAAAGAATCGAAAGAAAGAAACTTGCCACAACATACATCAGCAAGAGTCGTGTGAGATTCGAAATAAATATCAAAATAATTTATCGACCTCAATGCGACCCAAAAGCGAGCATTAGGGAAAGGGAACAATGGAGAGAGAAAGAGAATAAGATTCATTGTTGGATCAACTCGCGTTAAAGGTCAAAAAGTTTTTTTTAAGTTGAAAAAAATAAATAACAATAATTGTGAATGCTAAATTTGGCAACAGTGTGATGTGAATGCAGAAAATCAATTGTAAATTGAGACGACGAGACGAGACGAGAGCAGCTGATCAAAATGAACCCATTACCACCAATTATCGTAATTCGCTTTTATGGGTTTTTGATGGGACGATCATAGTACGCGCAAATCGATTGAAATGTTTTATTTTACGTAGATTTGTCACGAAACTATTATTTATTTACGTGTAGTGAAGAGATTATGAAGCTTACTTATCAGTAATTCTCATTCCACCTGTTGAATCATAAACACAAGTTGCACACAATTGCGGAGAAGTGAAAAACAGACTTTGAAGCTCGTAAAAATGTGTCTTAAAAACGAGTGACATCAGCTTTTGGGAATGTCGAAAACTTTCCTTCATTTAAATAATTATTGTTTGTTTACTTGACTGTTGACTCTTGTTTTGTCGCAAAAAAAATTGAAGTCAAGATCATGAATTCTTATTTTGCTAATTATTTTGCATTTTGGCTTGTTGATAAGTGAAAACTTTTTCTTTTATTTTTGGCACAATGAATGTGTTGAACAAGCTTTTTTTTCGCTGATTATGATAAAGTTGAAGTTTCATTTCCTGTTGATAGATAAAGTGAAGCGTTTTGAGGTTCTCGTGATGAAGAACATGCATGCTAAGTTGTTAGGTGATGTATGATGACACTAGAGAAGTTGCTGGTTGTCTTATCAAAGTAGTTCATTAAACTTGTACTTGCTGATAAATAATATTTCTAAAACTTGTTTATAGTTTCACAACCAATTCATTATCTATTGATTAGTATTTTTCTAAAAACCTCTTCAAGCATGAATACGACGAACTTTTAATGATAAATCTCACCGACATATAAAAATAGCTTATCAACGTATTTACAAGTTAAGCTCACAAGTCTTATCGTCTGTTCTATTCCAATTATTATTATGTCATCATTTCAACTGAAAACCAAATACATACTCGTGAAATTCGCGGGAACGATACAAAAGTTTAGATTTTGAGTGCTTATGTCGTTGAGTGTTCGTTGTTGCTGATATGGCTAAACGATTTCCATTGAATTTGAATATTTTTTGCTTTACTTATTGTTCCCTTCGTGACAATGTTGCTGTTCCACCTTAAACAAAATTCTCTCGGATAGGAAAATGTTTTTTATTTGTGGTTTACATGGCAATGCTGTTGATGAATGAAAGATTTTAATTATGAGACTATTTTAAATATTAAAGAAAGGCTCAAGAAAATAATTCTAAGTGAACATTTATTTAAATCAAAACCACCACAAAACTGTTAGACTTTACATTAATCTCTATTTACATTCAACCCGATGGAATTGTAATAAAAACAAAATAAAATCACAACATGTGGAGTGGAAAATTTTTCCAAAACATTATCGCGAGCGTTCTCTTCGACAATAGCTTCGTGACTTAATTTTTGATATATTTTTGAAGCACCTGGAGATTGTTTCTAAGTTTTTAATGAGAGCTTAAATCAAAGAAGCGAGTAAGGCGCTTATGACAAGCATTATTAACCTTTAACATAAAAAAGAGCCGACTTAGGAAGAAGAAGAAACTCTTTCAACATTAAAACATAAATAGAAAGAGTGACATAAAAAATATAAAGATAATTAATGTCACCACGCCTTCAAACACAAATATCAGTCGTCATCATCATCATTATAAACATTCTTATGAACGACAACATAAGTGAAGGAAATGAATTTGCGTAGTGAAGAGAATTAAAAGTTTTCCCCGTGGCTTTTAAAGATGCGAGCAGTTGTGGTTTCTGGCTTGCAATAAAACAAGAAATCGAGAATTGAAAGCATAAAAAGTCAACTTTATTATGAAGAATCTTATAAGATGACAAATGAATCTTAACATATTTTTATTAATTGCGGTTTCCCATATCAAGTAACCGTTTTCATTTATATATCGATATTCGATGAGGAGAATGTGGGGAAAACATCAAAGTGAGTACAATGAAACGACTTCAGAATGAGTAATGAAGTTACAAGAATGTAAAAATTGACTCGTTGGAATCTCATTGAATTTGTTGTCAAGTTTATTAAAATAGTCATTCCTTAACCACTCAAGAAACATTCAAGGATTTGTCACTTCCAAAAGCCATTATGACGAGGTTCGTTTGTTTGCTAAAAAGAAGCAGAAATTTAACGCGTGACAATGTGCAAAGGAAAAGTGATTTGTCACCTTTGTAAAGTGCTTTTTATGCTGGCATAGTTAAGTATGTCAATTATATCAGCGTTATCATTCATTGTAAGTTTTCACCGAAATAAAAAAGAGTTCATGAAAAGCTTTCACACTTAAAAACATCGTGAGAGTCACGTTTGGTTGGTTTGTAATGAAAACACTTAATGAATAAATTATGAAATTTTAATTAAATCCACTCGAACTGGGATCATCTTCCGCTACATCATCAAGCGATTCCATCAGAATTTCAATTGTTTTCAAATGAATGAAAGAAAAATATTTAAGTGGCGACTGAAAGTGATTTCAATTAAAATGATGACATTATTCAATAATCTAAGAAATAATCCATTAGAAAGGCGACAGTCAGCATGTTGCAATCGATTGTTAATTTCCGGAATGCCGTTAAATTTCATTTTCATTACAAATCGCTAGAGAATATGAAATAATCGCAGATTTGAAGACTGAAATGATGTCATTAAATTTTATGAGTCAACATGTGGTTATAGATTGCATCACGCGAGGATTTCTTCTTCTGTTTTATGAACGAAGCTTAGGAGACGATTATTTCTTATTAATAATCTTATTTTTAAGTTCAGACTTATCGTTTCAATTCAAGTTTTAAACCTTATAAGGTCTAGCATTCATTCAAGGTCATTCAATTCGTTGAATCTCGAATCAATCTTTCCATTTTTGTATTAATTGATGTTCTCTTGAATCTGTTTTATCAGTTTAGGAGTTTAAATCTTTTCTTTATTAGATAAATATTTATTAACATTCAAAGTGATTCAATTGTTGCATTGAAAATTATAACAACAGCGCCTACAGACACACGATTAGAATTTCTCATGAAGCGGTATATTTGAAAAACGAAAACGAGTGTCTTGTTATCGGCATTTTCATTTATTTAATGCACTCAAGTCGTCAAGAACAACAATTTATTTCAACGAAGCGAATATCAATGAAAAGTTGTTGAACAACTCAATCTTTATTTCGTTACTTTTAAGTTACGGGAGTCAATAAAAAAGGGAAAAACAATTATCTGTAAAAGTAAGAAAATAAATGAACACGTTCAATGATATTTTATCTTCCACGTTTTCATTCTTTACAAAATGTTACGCGATGATAATTAGGCAACGAACGGTGAGATTTTTAATCACGAATTCATTTTTGAAAGAAGAAATGTGTTGACAACAATACAGAAGTCCGTAGTGGAAGCGTGAATTAGCTTAATGTTGATTAATTTAAGTGGAAAATTTAGCGTTTAATCAGGTTTTATAGTGTGATCTTTTGTTGGCTTAGATAATTAATGATTCGAATTGAGTTGGATTGAATATTTTTAGATGTCTGCTTAATTAATTATAAGACTAAGTGAAGTTTTCACGGTTGGTCTTAATTTGATGTACCGCAACTTCTAAGCAGTTCTTTATAATTTAAAACATTCAATCTAACAGATCAACTCAAAATACAGCGAAGAATTGGCGGCCGAGTGTCTAGAATGGATTAAGGAAGTTACTGGTGAACCAATTAACACTTCCGGTGACATGGACAACTTCTTTGAAGTTCTCAAGGACGGTGTCATCTTGTGCAAGTTGGTCAACGCCTTACAACCAGGAACTGTTAAAAAAGTCAATGAAAGCAAAATGGCATTCAAGTGTATGGAGAATATTTCAGCATTCTTGGAAGCGGCCAAAGCTTTCGGAGTGCCAGTTCAAGAAACGTTCCAATCTGTTGACTTGTGGGAACGTCAGAACTTAAATTCTGTTGTTATTTGCTTGCAATCTTTGGGGCGTAAAGTGAGTTGAAATATTTAATTTTCTGTTTTTATTAGCCTGAATTAGATAAACAACAATTAATTGTTTTTTTATTTCTTAGGCTCATAATTTCGGTAAGCCATCAATTGGACCAAAAGAAGCTGAGAAAAATGTGAGAAACTTCAGTGAAGAACAATTGAAAGCTGGTCAAAATGTCATCTCGCTCCAATATGGATCGAACAAAGGCGCTAATCAATCGGGCATTAATTTTGGAAACACAAGACACATGTAAATTGTCTCACATCAACACAATGTCTACTTTCACATACCATCACTCTTCGATACATCCCAATGGTATCATTCCACAAAATTTAATTTCATTTTCGGAAAAGCTTTCTTAACAAAGCAGGATAATTATTTTTTTTTATAAACATTATTGTAACTTTGAATTGATGTTAATTAAGAGTTAAAGTGAAGATTTTTTAAGTAAGAATCTGAAAGAAAAAAGAAAGTTAAATTGTTGATTAGCAAGTTAATGATGAAAACAAATTTGTACACGACAATGTAGTGGCCTTTTAGATGAAGTCTTTAGCAAGTTGAAGAAACAATTCACTTGTTCTATTTTATAAACCTTAAAACTGGCCTTTATAACATTTTTATTATATTTCAACCGTACAAGGCGCAAGTAAAATACTTATTATAAATCTGGATAATTTGTGCCATCCTGTTTATTAATTACATTTCAATTTCATTCCAATTCAATAATTTTCTATGTCTCTCAATTATTAATTTACAATTCTTCGCCATTCCCTTTTATAATCTACCGTGGAAGGTAAAATTTGCTCTTTTTATGTTGAAAATCTTATTTTAATTTGTCTTAATTATAATCTGTTTGGAGAATTTTATATTTAATAAAATTGTGAGTTAAAGAACAACAAAATTATTAATTTTTCATGTTTTATTACACATTTTTATACTAATATCAAATGCACATGGTGAGACTTTATTTTTGGAACGGATAATAATTCAATCCAGTATTTAGTGGATATTTTTCCTTCTGTCCTTTTCTTGCTATTCTCAACATTCTTATGACTCCTTTTCTGTAAGCTGGCGGCTGAAGTTCCTCTTGAAGAGTGCATTTGATTTTTACAGGTTCTTCAGCTTTGAATATATTAGATCTGACGATATCAACATCACGACCATACTCTTCATTCAGATCGAATACGACTTTAGATGGAGAGTCGAATGTGATATTAAAAGCAGTTCCAGTTTTGTGAATTATTCCATGTTCGAAAACTCTAAAAGGAAGTGTACGATGGCCCAAATTATCGAGTTTTCTGATGAATCCTCCTTTACTAAATATCGCTTCTGCTGTTCTTTTAAGAGTTGTTATTACTTCTTGCTGAAAGAAAATTAAGAAAATATTGCGTAAAATGAATAGGTAATCATGCATGGTTTTTAATGTAACTTTAGAAATCAAGTAAACTCAATATTTTAAGGCAATAATTAAACTACTTACTCTTGGCATTTGTCGCAATATAACTAAAGCTTCGTAGGATGGCATCTTTACTAATTTATGTGACTTATTTCAAGCTTAAAGTCAAAATTTGAAGAATATTGCGGTCTTGTTTACTATAAGTTGCTCAAATATTGTAAATTTTTTGTTGCTTAATTTGAATTTACTTTTACCGTTAAGTTTTCTTAAGATGTTTAGAAATCAGTTTTTGGCATTATTCTTTCTTTCTATTTATTTATTGCACACCTTCGACCGAAGCGGAAAGATTTTTTTCCAATCTTCATATGTGTGAATATAATTCATTAAATAGCATGGTAAACGCACATCATGAATCATTCAGTGCTCGTTCGTCTCTTTTTTACGTATTTTTTGGACTTATTCTCTTACTCTTAAACAGGTTTCAATTTGTGTTTATAATCATGATGATGATGAAACTACAGAACAAGAAGCCATATAAGAAGAAATAAGAAGTATTGTTCTCTTGCTGATTTACTTCGTTTAGAAACGAATTTAATGAGAGAGATCATCCGATGTATAAGAAGAATCATAATTTGCATCACACATGGAGATTCAATTGGCATATTCATTTATGCTGCTTTAAATAAAAAGCCGGCAGTGGCGCAGACGATACCGGCATTTACAGAGCATGACAATAATATTTTTCTTCTTATTACACGTTCATTCCCATACCACTGCAACTTATTTCTCTGTTCGTCATTAGTAACTAAGCTTCCCTCGTAGTCTCATCGTTTAGTTTCATTTTGCCGTTCGCTCAGTTAACAGCTGCAAAGAACTCGTTAGTGGGAAAATCTACAATAATGTGAGTATGAAGAACAAAAAATAATAAAAAAATAAAATAAAATCAATCACTATCACTGCAAAGCGTAAATCAAAATCATGTTTAATATTCGTCACCTAATGCTGTGAACATTGTAGAATTAATTCTATTATTTGTATAGTGATAAGTGATCTGCACATACATTAATAATAAATTTTCATATTCATCGTTTAAGGGCTCCAAAAGATGTAAAATTCATAGACGATTCTATAAAAACCGACAACGATGACATGACAACAGAAAAGATTGTTTATAAGCCTCGAATTCAATGGTCGAATGTTGCTGTTAATCTCTTCATTCACTTCGGTTCCTTAGTGGGTGTTTATCATATGTTAACACTGCAACCAAAATGGCAAACATATATTTGGTGTAAGTGAATTTTTTTCATGGCCAAACATTTTTTGTTGTTGTTTTATTGATTAATTTTTCCGGCTTCCATTCCAAAAAAAAAAACATTTTCCACACAGTTCTGATTGTGACCGTATTGTGTAACTTGTCGGTATGCATTGGAGTTCACCGACTTTGGTCTCATCGTAGCTTCAAAGCCGTACGAAAGTTGAGATTACTTCTCTTGTTCTTTTACACTATGGCTGGTCAGGTGAGTAATTTCGAGACGTATAATGTTGCGCATCAAAAACAAAGAAAAGAAAGAAGAAAACAAATCTTTACACGTCTTCCGTTAAACAACCTTGTAAAATAAAACAATTAAAATGACAAATAGCGTTATCAGCGTATTTAGTAGCTACCCGTTTTACATGTATATTTATGTCGTACGATTACCTAAAATAAAACAAAAAGTAAGAAGAAAAAGCACGCGACGACCCCAACACTTGAACACCTAATGACCGACTTTTGACATTGCAGAATCAACTAGTGGCAAATTTTTAATCTTGTTTTTTTGTTTAAATTTATTTCTAAATTCCAACTCTCACAGAGCTCCGTTTATAATTGGGTTAAAGTCCATCGTGTACATCACAAATTTGCTGAAACTGAAAAAGATCCATTGAACTTTCGTCGAGGATTCTTCTTCGCCCATGTTGGGTGGTATTGTCTCACCTTCCATCCAGAATGTGAAAAAGAAATGAAGAGAATTGATATGAAAGATATTGAAGCTGATAAGGACATTATGTTTCAGTACAAGTAAGAAGTTTATTTAATCTTAATTAACGTCACGACAATAAATAAATTCTCATTCACAGCAATTACGAGATTCTCTTTTTTATATTCAACATAATGTTACCAGTTCTTACACCTTGCTACTTTTGGAATGAATCATTATGGATTTCATTCTGGGTTTGCTTTGTCACACGGTTTGCTATCAATTTTACTCAATTGAATTTCACGAACAGTGCAAATCATTTCATCGGACGTCGGCCTTATGATAAGGGACAAAGCGCGACTGATAATCTCGCAATGGTTTTCTTCTCTTTCGGAGAGGGGTGAGTGGAGTCGCTTATCAATCATATCAACAGCCGTTGTGAAAATAATTAATTAAATTTTTGATTTCCTTTTCAGTTATCATAATTATCACCACGTTTTTCCATACGACTACCGCAGTGGAGAATTTGGTGACATTGGTCATTACAATTTGAGTGCAGTTCTCATTGATTTCTTTGCCAAATTCGGTTGGGTCTACGACCGAAAAATGGTCTCGTCAGAAATGATTTCGCGACGTGTTATGAAGTCAGGCGATGGAACTCACTTTTTGTCGCATGAAGAAGCTCATAAAAATGCAATTTACGGTTATGGTGATAAAGACATTGATCCAGATGATCAAGAAGATTTGGATAATATGAAAAATTAATTCAACTTTATTTATTTCAAGTAAAGAAACAAATTTAATGCTTTTAATGGAAAAAAAATCAAATATTTAAATCATTCAAACATTTTTATCAATAAATTTCAATTAAACATCAAATATAAGAGAAAATGTGTAATTTAGAATAACAAATATGAATATTGCTTGTCATGACAATTATTCCTCCTCTTCTTCATCGCATTCTTGATCTTCATCAGCTGTTGCTTCCTGATATTGCTGATATTCGCTGATTAAGTCATTCATGTTACTCTCAGCTTCAGTGAATTCCATTTCATCCATTCCTTCACCAGTGTACCAATGCAAGAAAGCTTTACGACGAAACATGGCAGTAAACTGTTCAGCAATGCGTTTGAAGAGTTCTTGAATAGCTGTGGAATTGCCAATAAATGTAGCAGACATCTTCAAGCCACGCGGTGGAATATCGCAAACAGCAGTCTTGACATTGTTGGGAATCCATTCAACAAAGTAGCTGTTATTCTTATTTTGGATATTCATCATTTGTTCGTCGACATCTTTCATTGACATGCGACCACGGAAAATTGCAGCAACAGTCAAATAACGGCCATGACGAGGATCACATGCTGCCATCATGTTCTTGGCATCGAACATTTGTTGCGTCAATTCGGGAACAGTCAAAGCACGATACTGTTGAGCACCACGTGATGTTAATGGTGCAAATCCAGTCATGAAGAAATGAAGACGTGGAAAAGGAACCATGTTAACAGCAAGTTTACGTAAATCTGCATTGAGTTGGCCAGGAAAACGTAAGCATGTCGTTACACCAGACATTGTAGCCGATACTAAATGATTCAAGTCACCATATGTCGGCGTAGTTAACTTCAATGTACGAAAGCAAATGTCATAAAGAGCTTCATTGTCAATGCAATAAGTTTCGTCAGTGTTTTCAACAAGTTGATGAACCGAAAGTGTTGCATTGTATCTGAATATTAAAACAGTTAACTTTGTGTAATTAAAAGCAATTAGGATAGACTTACGGTTCAACGACAGTGTCAGACACTTTAGGTGAAGGAACCACTGAATAAGTGTTCATGATACGATCAGGATATTCTTCGCGAATCTTTGAAATCAGCAAAGTTCCCATTCCTGAACCTGTTCCACCTCCCAGAGAGTGTGTCATTTGAAAACCTTGCAAGCAGTCACAACTTTCAGCTTCTTTTCGAACTACATCTAAGACAGCATCGACAAGTTCAGCGCCTTCAGTGTAATGACCCTGAAATCAAATATTTTTTCAAGTTTTCTTAAAGCATTTTCAGAAACAACGAAGTTACCTTTGCCCAATTGTTTCCAGCGCCTGATTGTCCAAACACAAAGTTATCTGGACGGAAGAGTTGACCAAAAGGACCAGCACGAACAGAATCCATTGTTCCTGGTTCCAGATCCACCAAAACAGCTCTGGGGACGTATTTTCCTCCAGTGGCTTCGTTGTAGTAAACGTTAATTCTTTCAAGTTGGAGATCAGAATCACCGCAGTAACATCCAGTTGCATCAATTCCATGTTCATCGGAGATGATTTCCCAGAACTTGGCTCCGATTTGGTTGCCACATTGACCTACAGATTTAATTTAAGGAAGAAAAAAAATGGCGGTGAATTTCAATTTCACAATTTCTTTAAAACTTCATCTAACCTGCTTGAATATGAACAATTTCACGCATTTTATTTGCTTTTGATTCACTTCAACTTCAATAAGATATTTAGATAGAAATACTTTGAGATATAACGTTTCGCGTCTGGTTTTATCGAGATGTAGATTCAAAGTGAGAAAATTTTAACGATATTTGAACTTCAATGATTAATATGATTAATGATTACTTTTAGTACTAACAAGTTCAAAGTTTTAGTTCAAATAATAATTTGAATTTACAAAACTTAACGGTCATTATTCAAGTTCCACTGATTTCATTCCCATTCAAAATATTTACAACAATAATGAAAAGTATCAGAATTTCTAACCATTTGATATGAATTTCTAGTCTTGTCCTATAAATACTTACATGAATAATATAGAAGATAAACACTAAAACAATTATTTGTTTTTTAATAGTTATTTATTCATTAAACGTCTTTTTTATGGCTTTATATAGATCAATGAACTCATTCCACCCGCGCTTCTTTTTCTCTTCTATTTCCCTCCTAATTAAATTTTATAACATTCGAATGGTATTGATGGCGCCGCAGGTGGTCACCATAATTATGAATTTCACTCCATTCAACAGAATGTTGAGGATTGTTCAGAATAAGAAAAATGTGACATGTGTGATTAACAAGCAAGAAATACTGTGAAATTATGCAAATCTCACATCGCGCTTGTAAGTTACAAACGACAGAAGTTCATTCAATGCAAGGATGAATTTTGTTTTCCATTTCTAGGATTTCCATGGAGTTCGTGATCCGCTTCACTCGATAGGGATTTGATTGACTCTTCTCCTTCGCAAAGCGACTTCCTTTTGAGCTCAACTCAAATAGAGTTCAGTTTCACCCTTTCAACCTTTCGTTGTCTTTTGAACATGAGCGAAAGAAAAATTGTTTTCATTATTTAAGTCGCGTGGCTTGACGCCGTTTTGCCTTAGCAAACATCGCATGAAATCGAGTGAAGCAGCTCAGGAATGAGTCGAATTTATGAAGATGGATGTAAGAAGTGTTTTTACGATGTGCGGAAGATGAACGAAATATTTTCACCCTCACATGAACATTCTCACGGTGAATTGGAAACGCAAATCACTTTGGGAACGAATGCAATTTCGAATGATAAAGAAATGACTAAAGTGGGTGATATCTAAATGATCATCTGAATTGCGTTACGATGCGTCTCGAGAGACATTCTTGAGCATGAAATGTTCTTATTCGTTTTTCATTAAGATCAATTGCACAATTTTCACTTTTCCAAGTGACTCATAACTCAATTCACTTTCAACTTCACTCAAACTTCTTTACTTGCTTTTGATTGACATTCTCATGATGAACAGAAGGCGAAAGTGATTTCCAGAAATTCCCCCTGAAGTGTTTGGATTGACGGACATGAAATGAAGTTCTTAGTTCTCGATTTAATTTCATTTCCTTCTAAAATACTTTGAGGGTGGGATGAAGAAGGAAAATCGATGAAAGTTAGGGAAAAGTTTTAACTTCAAGTTCAAGGATGACTTTGAAAGGTAAATTTCGTATGAAAGTTGAGTAAGAAGGAAAAGTTGCTTGGAATCAGTTTCAAAATATTTTGAAGGTTTGGAGTGAAACGAGAAGGAAATTTATGCAAACGCATGTGCAACCCCTAATTAAAGCACCACGCGCTACATTTCCATAACATTTTAAAATCAGCGACAACTCGGCAGCTTGGAGACAATGAAAACATTTTCACGCTACAAGCTTCAAAGTATCCAGGACGTGATGTTGCGGTCGAGTGAATTTCGATAGTTTTCAGCTTTTCTATTCCAAACTTCATTTGCAACCCTCGCAACTGAATCATGCAAAGATTTCTCACATACACAAAAAGAATGAAGGGAAATATTTTTTATGGAATAATTAAAAAAGGAGATATTAAGTTTTGTAATATTTAATGGCAAAAACTAGTTTTCTTTTACTCATATTCGTTGAACCCTCATCAAGTTCCATCACCTTTCATTTCACCAGCAATATAGAAACTCGAGCTTTATGGTTGATGTCGAACCCTTTCTGTATGTTAATTCAGCCGGGTGGTGAATGTGTAAATGCAAAACAATTTGAAGTGAGTTGCCTGAGACACGTGGCAGTCAAAGGCGGTGCTTAGTACGCAAAATCATTGGATAATTCCACAAAGAGAATTCCTTACATGAAATGTTTCTGTGTGTATGAGTGAGTTGATATGAAAGAATTGAGGGGAAAAGTTTGGAATTATGATTCATTTATACTTTCATTTGATGTGATGAAGATCGATCTTCGTCCACATAAATTTAATGCACCTGGAATTTCATAAACAGCTTTTGAAACAGTGAATTAATATGTTAGATATGTCATTGGAATTTTCACAAAATTCTTGAATTAATTACACATGCGAACTTCTCATTAATAATTGAAAAACTTTTAATGAATGATTTCCCTATGAAATTTAATTATTCAAATAGAAATTCACGTTTTGTTATTGATTTTCTTTTCTTTGAATACATTATGTTTATATTATATTAATGAGATTTTTTAATCACTTAACGTCAAGTTAAAGGAAGTAAAAATAGCGATGATGATTCAGTGGAAATGTTGATGCATCACGGATGAAGCCGAAATTCTTTGGCGCTCTGTTGCTTTTGTTCTGCTGCGCCATCGCAGTACAAAAAACGAAGATTTTCTATTTTCGATGTCAAGGACATCAAGACACTTGTTGATCTTTCCTGCACTTCCTTAACACGCTTTTGGTTTACTTCTTTGATCATTTTCTTAGAAAATTCAACCCCAGATGTTCAAAGAATCGAGTTGTTCCACTCACACTCGTGCCAACCACTTGCACCTGACGATCGATTGAACTTCCTTGTAAGGTGAACTTCATTCATAAAGTCTCGTCGTCTGGTGTAAAGAAATGTTCAAGAAGTTGTAAAAAGACGTTCGTCGAATGCATTCACACATATTAAAAGTGTCTGCAAAGCAAAACCCTTCAAGTAGAAGCGAAAGCGATGAGATCGTAATCGGCAGCTGCAACTTTTGTGCTGAATCAAACGGGATTTTGTGTGACTATGAAGGGTGAGACGAACCCTCGTATGAATTGTGATTCATAACAATAATTTTCTCATTTCTTTGTGTGTGTGTCGGCTTCGAGTTCTGACAGAAATAAAAAACTGATTTGGTGCAATCTTTAAAATTTAAGTTCAACTTTTGCTTATTTTTGTTATGAATTCGAACAGAACTTGCGTGAAAACTGAAATTAGGAACTTGAACAGTTCGATGAACTTTTTCAGGGAATTTTTCCGTTTTTCCTTTTTCCCGCTTTCCCACTTCCATATTCAACTTTTCCCACCCGCGTGTATTTTTTAATGATTCATTTCCTTTCCGTAATTTACTGCTGATGACCGAACGAGTTCTTCCTGCTTTCCTTTGTGCGAGAAGTGTTTACACAACATAAATAAACTTTGCCTTCGAAAGCCTTTTTATGGTCTTGGCGACAATGGCGTGTTGTATCAAAAATGTTCTTTATCGATCCAGCATCGTCGATGCATAACAAAATTTCAAATTCTTCTAAATTTTCTCTTTTCAATCATCGAGATTCTCAATCAATGTTCAAATGTGTGCCAAACTTATTCATTTATTTCTTTGTCGACCATCTGTTTACAATTCCGACATCAACTGAGATTCAATTTCAATCGAAACAAGATTTCTGTGCATTTCAACTTCCATTTACCCTCGAAATTGCACAACTTTCACTGCACTCGTTTTCAGTGTCGAAGGATGAAGAAAGAAGGAAATTTTATAGATTTTCTTGTTTAGATATTTTGCAGCGATAATTATGCAAATTTTCCTGGAATCTGGTGGCGACTTTATGTTGTATTCCAATCCATTTAATTGCAACTTAGTTAAACGCAACTTGCGTTTGTTGCCTTGCATGCAATGTTCGCACAATTTTACTTCTTCAACTCATAATTCAATTGCGAACTTTGATCAGCCACTAATTGAATTATTGACTTTCCATCCCTCGTCTAATTGTGATTAAATTAATTAAATGAATTCCTTTGATGTCGCTTAAAGACGAATGAAGAAGAAGTGGTGTGAAGAGAATTGTAGCCGGCAGCATGTCCCAGCATGAAACTACTCGAGAAATTGAAACTTTCGTCAAACGAAATCTCATCTCGAGTTTCAGTTTGTAATTAAAATTCGCCGAAATTTCGAATTTCAATCTTCGTTGATGGCTTCTCACCTCATGTTCAGCTATTTTCTTTCTTTTTTGTTTGTTCCATTACCACTCATGNGAAAAAGTTGCTTGGAATCAGTTTCAAAATATTTTGAAGGTTTGGAGTGAAACGAGAAGGAAATTTATGCAAACGCATGTGTTGTGCAACCCCTAATTAAAGCACCACGCGCTACATTTCCATAACATTTTAAAATCAGCGACAACTCGGCAGCTTGGAGACAATGAAAACATTTTCACGCTACAAGCTTCAAAGTATCCAGGACGTGATGTTGCGGTCGAGTGAATTTCGATAGTTTTCAGCTTTTCTATTCCAAACTTCATTTGCAACCCTCGCAACTGAATCATGCAAAGATTTCTCACATACACAAAAAGAATGAAGGGAAATATTTTTTATGGAATAATTAAAAAAGGAGATATTAAGTTTTGTAATATTTAATGGCAAAAACTAGTTTTCTTTTACTCATATTCGTTGAACCCTCATCAAGTTCCATCACCTTTCATTTCACCAGCAATATAGAAACTCGAGCTTTATGGTTGATGTCGAACCCTTTCTGTATGTTAATTCAGCCGGGTGGTGAATGTGTAAATGCAAAACAATTTGAAGTGAGTTGCCTGAGACACGTGGCAGTCAAAGGCGGTGCTTAGTACGCAAAATCATTGGATAATTCCACAAAGAGAATTCCTTACATGAAATGTTTCTGTGTGTATGAGTGAGTTGATATGAAAGAATTGAGGGGAAAAGTTTGGAATTATGATTCATTTATACTTTCATTTGATGTGATGAAGATCGATCTTAATGCACCTGGAATTTCATAAACAGCTTTTGAAACAGTGAATTAATATGTTATGTCATTGGAATTTTCACAAAATTCTTGAATTAATTACACATGCGAACTTCTNATCAAGTGAAGCAGCTTAGGAATGAGTCGAATTTATGAAGATGGATGTAAGAAGTGTTTTTACGATGTGCGGAAGATGAACGAAATATTTTCACCCTCACATGAACATTCTCACGGTGAATTGGAAACGCAAATCACTTTGGGAACGAATGCAATTTCGAATGATAAAGAAATGACTAAAGTGGGTGATAAATGATCATCTGAATTGCGTTACGATGCGTCTCGAGAGACATTCTTGAGCATGAAATGTTCTTATTCGTTTTTCATTAAGATCAATTGCACAATTTTCACTTTTCCAAGTGACTCATAACTCAATTCACTTTCAACTTCACTCAAACTTCTTTACTTGCTTTTGATTGACATTCTCATGATGAACAGAAGGCGAAAGTGATTTCCAGAAATTCCCCTTAAAGTGTTTGGATTGACGGACATGAAATGAAGTTCTTAGTTCTCGATTTAATTTCATTTCCTTCTAAAATACTTTGAGGGTGGGATGAAGAAGGAAAATCGATGAAAGTTAGGGAAAAGTTTTAACTTCAAGTTCAAGGATGACTTTGAAAGGTAAATTTCGTATGAAAGTTGAGTAAGGAAAAGGAAAAAGTTGCTTGGAATCAGTTTCAAAATATTTTGAAGGTTTGGAGTGAAACGAGAAGGAAATTTATGCAAACGCATGTGTTGTGCAACCCCTAATTAAAGCACCACGCGCTACATTTCCATAACATTTTAAAATCAGCGACAACTCGGCAGCTTGGAGACAATGAAAACATTTTCACGCTACAAGCTTCAAAGTATCCAGGACGTGATGTTGCGGTCGAGTGAATTTCGATAGTTTTCAGCTTTTCTATTCCAAACTTCATTTGCAACCCTCGCAACTGAATCATGCAAAGATTTCTCACATACACAAAAGCGATGGATTGTAAATCCCTTCAATAATCGCTTTTCATATTTCTTGCTTCATGTTCTATTGTGTTTCTATTTCTTTTCCTTTTCTAATTCAATTTGCAACATTTATTTGTAAATAAAGAGTAAAATTAAGAATCTTGGCATTTTATTTACCATTTGTAAATAAGAGAAAGCCAGGAAAAGTCTTTGAAGTTTCACAAATGAAACTAAGGTTTTGTCATGGTGAATTTGTTTGTAAAAGTGTTGAGAAAATAATTTGAACAGTCGTCGCTAAACGAACCCTCATAATATTTCTCAACCTTGCCATTCACCGGCAAAGACTCGTGTTATCGTTGATATTGAACCCTCTCCGTATTTTTAATTTATCCGAATGTTGAATGTGTGAATGTAAGAACATTTTTCATATGTTAAGGGAACATCAGCACGTGTAATGATCGCAGCTTTGAAAAGGCGGTGCTTAGTACGCAAAAGCGTTGACGAAACCCGAAGAAAGGAATCCTGAACATAATTTGTTAATGTATGAGTTTGAAAGCGTGAGGGGAAGGATTTCCAGTATAAAACCAAACGACTCTGATTCTCTTTCAGTCATTCATCTATCAGACGTCAAAGTTTAATATTCATTCGTAACATTTTTTTTATATAATGTAGTAGTTTCTTTGTACATTATTTAAGTTTTGAGTTAATTTAATTTTTGTGTAATTTATTAATAAGAAAGAAAGAAAGAAAAATTTATAATCAGAAAAAAAGAAGAAGAAAAAGTTTTTATGTTGGAATAAAAATTATGAAAAGTTCGGGAGAAAGTGCATAAGAATTGATTGAAAGACTTAAAGTGTCATGAAATGGAGAGAACAATAAAATTATCGACAGTTAGATCAACTTTAGGTCTGCTGACAACAGTTCATCAATTACCAACAAACTATCAGGTACAATACATCAAGATCAAGACAGAAACGCCACTCGATTTGACAATCAAGCCTTTTGCTGATCAGTTGGGAGTTGCTATGACTCCACCAAGTACTCCAAGTCCAATTAAAAAACGATACCGTGAGATCGAAAACGAAGACCAAACCAAACCATTTGAAACGAAAATTTTATCGCCATTAAAAAAAAGATATCGCGAAAATGATCAGAAATTCATTTTAACACCGCAACAAATAAAACAAGAAACGACGCCAAAAAAATCTTCAGCTAGAATTACTTCAATTAATCAGAAAAGCTCAAAAAATCCTCCAACAACAAATACGAAAGAACGAAAGTCCAAAGCGATAAGAAAATTAAAATTCGATGAGTTTCGATCGTCTCCGGTGTCGGGAACAATTATTAGAACATTAGAGGAAATTGATGAAAATGATATTCAAGAATCAGGTGACATCGATCCGCAATACAACATCGTTGAAGTGACTGATGAAGCGAAAAATGAACTTGCACAAATTCCCAACGTCATTGGCGCTTATTTGTGTAAACTATGTCGAATAGAGTTCGATGACGCTTTCGGTCTCGCTCGTCATCGTTGCAATTGCATTGTTTTACTTGAATATCGATGTCCTGAATGTGGAAAGAAATTTAATTGTCCTGCGAACTTGGGTAAGAAACTTAATTAACGGAAAATATTTTATTTATTTTTCTAATATAAAATATTATTCAAACAGCGTCTCATCGTCGATGGCATAAGCCACGCGACCAAATGAATAAAAAAACATCAGAGTCGTCAGAGAACGAACCGTCGTTTCCTTGTAAAGAATGCGGAAAATGCTTTAAGCGACAAGCTTATCTGAAAAAACATCTTGCAACACACAACAAAAAGCCAAACGCTACAACAACAATGTCCACTTTGAACAATCACAAAAAGCTATCATTATTGCAAAATGAATCGTCGGCGAGTTCATTCAACGCTCATTCAAGCCATTCGCATGACAGCGCCGACATTCTCATACCACAACCTGTGTTCAACTTCAATCGCACGGAATCGCCTACACCATCATCAGACAGCGAACATGAATTAGTGATAAATGAGAATAGTAACTCTTCAATTAATTCCATGGCATCCACGGCCTCCGCAAAATTCAATTTACTAAGCAATCGATTTACAGAGGACGAAAATATCGCGATAAGTGCGTTGGCAAATTTACGTAGTGGATCGTCAGTTATTCGACATACTTTAGCAGTGTAACAGTTTAGATACTAAAACGTAAATATTTAATAATGAGATGCAATCAGTGCTGCTTTTTCGTGACTTGACAAAGTGTTTTTGTTTGAAACTTTTTTCCTTTCTTTTTCATTAATTTTATTTTCGCAAGGCGACACATGTTTGCAGTTGAAGTGCACAATCATACACATTTTCATTCTTTTATTAATTTTTCTTTTTTTATTTTTCACCTACCATGTCTAATTTATTAAGTTATTTATAGAATTGTAGAAAGCATGTCAATGCGTTGTAACGCAGACATGAAGCGATGAGTCATAACTAGTCAGAGTTATAAGTTTAGTGAGAGAAGGAAACAAAGAATCCTTAACATGTTTCATCCGTCGATGCTTCCACTCATACTTTTCTCCTTTGCGTATCTTCCAATGGTAGTTGCGCAATGAAGATTTCTTTAAGATCCCGCCCACTTTCTTACGATGATTCATCAATTTAAATGTGAAGTTATTTCTGTCAAAGTATTTATTGAACATTTTAATGTTAATGACGTGGATAAGTGAGAGTGAAGTAGCGACTTGATGGACATTAAGGATGAAGTTTTCTTCTTAATTTTATATTAGTAAGTTTATTTAGAGTAGAAATTTCTTTTTTCCATCATCCAACCGTACTTTTATTGTAACACATTGGAAGAGTTTTAAGAAAGTTTCACGAAGCCAGGCTTGGGGTAAACTGTTTGCAATTAAGTGCTTATTCATTGTGCCATTTTATTCCACACTTCATGTTTGATCGTATTTCGATGATAAAAACTATTTATTTATGCTATAAGAAAATTTTGTACATTACTATGAAGTTAGAAAAATCAGCTGAAACCAAAGAGAAAATTTATGTAAATTAAGTAAGCGGAATAAGTGTGTAAGTTCTAGTCACGAACAAAATAATTCGCAATTGCTCAAAGTTAGAAAGAAAAATTCGAGTAAATGTTAGAAGTCATGAAATGTTAAGTTCTAGCTAGTCACTCATCTAGTCAGGATGTGACAATCAAAATGTTTCACAACCCATTCAATTCAGGATTTATATTGTTATATCAACTACTGGTCTAGTCAATGCCTAATCATGAAAGCAATTTTTCATAAATTATCAGTCAAAAAATCTAGTTAAACTCAAATGATTCTAGTCAAACATAAAGTATTTATATTTATGGTTAGAAAGTCATAAAATCATATCATTTATTCATATCTAGTCCCATTTAACAATGAAATATGTTTTGGATGCGATGTACAATTATTTAATCGCTATAAAAATTGCAGAATTTCGATTTCTTTTTCTCCTTCTTATTGTCAATTTATATTTTTAAATCATTGAACATAAATTATTTTATAAGTTGAAACATCCTGAAATGTCCTAATTATAAGCTAATAGATAACTAATTATTAATGACCTTTTATTACACCAAAATTGTACTTACAAATATATTTATTTAGATAATGTCAGCAACATACATGAAAGCTCAATTCTAATTTAATTAAGGATAATTTTGCGTGAAAAAGCAGCACTTGTAAGCTTATATATCTTAATTAGTCAGTAATATTGAAATGTGATATTAGATGATAGGAATTCAATTTACTAAGCATAAAACTTTATTTATTCAAATCACGATTCATATATTTTCTCTGCTTAATCCGATTGATGTAAACACTTTTTGAAGTAAAAGATAATTTTTCAATAAAAACGAGTAAAAAAGGGAAATGAAATGTTTTTCAATAAATTTGAAAGTTCTTAATTTCAGTGTTTGAAGGTGTGAAGATCATTAGTTGATGAGTTGTTGTTATACGCTTAACTGGTTTCATTCTGATAGATGAATACAACAATTTAGTGATCAATTTAATGGAATAATGCTTTTCAAGAGACATTAATCATCGTTCCTTTCTATTTGGTGAATTAGTTGTGGTTAGTTTTTACACCTTTTTCCATTAAAATATACATTTACGACAGATGGACCATAGCACTTTGAGTTATATTAACAACTGGCGCTCGATGAACAATATTTTACAGCAATTTCAGAACGCGAACCGTGAAAATGTTTGTACATCAACAGCTGTGTATGATATATTTAATAATGAACCAGGGTGAGTGTAAAGGATTCGTAATCGAATGAAACTCAATCTGATTGAAACATCGCATCGTCGAGTGATCAAACAGAAATTGAAATCGTTTTGAGAATCATCATCAAAAAAATAAAAGTTTCGGATCTATCCAAGTGGTCTTTCAAAATGGTTCGCACTTCTTGAACAGAAGTGAAAAAAGGGTTTACAAAATAAAATATCAAATAACATCAATAAACAAGACAACATCCGATCCATTAATTTTTAACCGTTTGGAGTTCTATGGCAAATTTTCTCATCACACTCAACATTGAAAGTGACTTTCATACATTCAAAGATACTTTCTAAGACGTAGAAAGTTATTCTTGTCACATCTTACGTAAACAATTCCACTTTTCTTATTGACAATGCGTCCCAAAGGCAAAACAATTTTTGATAGCATGACCAACGATTGAAATAAAATTACTCGAGACGAATAATGTTCTTATTATCTTCGTGACTTAAAATATTCCAAGGTAGTCTCATAGGCATACTATTCTTATATTACATACATGGATATATCGTAAAGTTTCAATTGAAAGGAAATTCCTTAACAATTCATGGTAAATTTAAAATGGAAAGCAACTTGATGATTAGTCAGGAAGCGTCGTCTTAACCTTAAGTGAATTTAAATAATTCATTTATTGGAATTAAGAAATCCACCTTCCTTATATTTATTTCCATCCCATGAAATTGAAGAAAATTCTTTTGTATGTTTTTAAATATTTTTTTCTTCGACAAATGAGAAAAACGGAAAACTCTTGACTGCTGATTAAAATCTTATGAAGGAAAATACTTTGCAACAACTTAAATGACCATCTACTTGCACGATAACCAAGTTTCCACCTTTAATTTCCAACATTTCTGAAAGCGGGGGTGGAATGCTTTTGAAATAAGTTTTTTACACATAACCAGAAATAAAAAATGAAAAATCATATGCAACATGCGATGTGTGTTAAAAGCAAATGAAAATCGGTGGACGACTATAATTATGGACACAGGAGAGAAAAAATATTTTCAGTGATGTCTAGACCAGCTGTCGCCATTTCCCATGATCAATAATTTATCAAGATTCCATCAAGCAATGCTTTTAAATGTCTATTATTTTTAAGTTTTTCAAAATAAAAAAGTTTTCATTCAATTTTATTATAATTTGTCTCGACCATCATGTTAATGACCCTTCATTTCATCATAAGTATTGAACGGAAGTCCTTGTGGACGAAATGAATTGACAGGAAATCGAAACCGTAATGTAAACGGTGATGAACCAACAACCAATCTATCACGTTGATCAATTCGTACTATGATCATTAAATAAACTTCCAGGTGCTTAAGAGTTTAATTAAAAATGATGATGGGATGGAAATTTACTTTTATGTTTAGACCATGAAAATAATGGTTAGAGAGAATTCCTTTAATGTGAGTGATGGATTTCTCTCACGCAATGAACAATGCTGCAAGTTTTCAATTCCTTTGGAGGCGGTAAGTAAAGTTTATTACTTTCCTACTGAGTGAATTGAAACCCCAGATGGTGATCTCATCTCACAAAAAACTCCCTCAAAAATATTTTTCATCTTGAAGTGACGTTAGAAACGGCATGAAACGTTTTCAGTTGATCAATGTCCACTGTGTGGGTGTTTATTAAATTATAACTTGAAGCATTTAATGAATTTATCATTCAACAGCTGAAAATCGATCGTTTTGTCGCTTCATTTGATCGTTTGGGGATGTGAAAAGTCGTTGAAACTGCATGGAAGTGTTGAATGCTGGTTCATTGTCTCATCATGGGAATGAAATTGAACTTAAATTCTCTTTTAAATTGCACCTCAAGATTGAGAATCTTAATGGCATTAAAGTGGATGTAGATCAGGAAAGAAACTGCCACCAGCTGAGACTTCATCGCAACAATCCGATCTAATTTGCACAAACTGTAGAAATAACAAAATTCTCTTGAAGTGCTTTTGTTCATTGATGCGGGCCACGTAATTGAAATTCCATGAGTGGTAATGGAACAAACAAAAAAGAAAGAAAATAGCTGAACATGAGGTGAGAAGCCATCAACGAAGATTGAAATTCGAAATTTCGGCGAATTTTAATTACAAACTGAAACTCGAGATGAGATTTCGTTTGACGAAAGTTTCAATTTCTCGAGTAGTTTCATGCTGGGACATGCTGCCGGCTACAAGTCTCTTCACACCACTTCTTCTTCATTCGTCTTTAAGCGACATCAAAGGAATTCATTTAATTAATTTAATCGCAATTAGACGAGGCATGGAAAGTCAATAATTCAATTAGTGGCTGATCAAAGTTCGCAATTGAATTATGAGTTGAAGAAGTAAAATTGTGCGAACATTGCATGCAAGGCAACAAACGCAAGTTGCGTTTAACTAAGTTGCAATTAAATGGATTGGAATACAACATAAGTAAAGTCGCCACCAGATTCCAGGAAAATTTGCATAATTATCGCTGCAAAATATCTAAACAAGAAAATCTATAAAATTTCCTTCTTTCTTCATCCTTCGACACTGAAAACGAGTGCAGTGAAAGTTGTGCAATTTCGAGGGTAAATGGAATTTGAAATGCACAGAAATCTTGCTTCGATTGAAATTGAATCTCAGTTGATGTCGAAATTGTAAACAGATGGTCGACAAAGAAATAAATGAATAAGTTTGGCACACATTTGAACATTGATTGAGAATCTCGATGATTGAAAAGAGAAAATTTAGAAGAATTTGAAATTTTGTTATGCATCGACGATGCTGGATCGATAAAGAACATTTTTGATACATCACGCCATTGTCGCCAAGACCATAAAAAGGCTTTCGAAGGCAAAGTTTATTTATGTTGTGTAAACACTTCTCGCACAAAGGAAAGCAGGAAGAACTCGTTCGGTCATCAGCAGTAAATTACGGAAAGGAAATGAATCATTAAAAAATACACGCGGGTGGGAAAAGTTGAATATGGAAGTGGGAAAGCGGGAAAAAGGAAAAACGGAAAAATTCCCTGAAAAAGTTCATCGAACTGTTCAAGTTCCTAATTTCTGTTTTCATGCAAGTTCTGTTCGAATTCATAACAAAAATAAGCAAAAGTTGAACTCAAATTTTAAAGATTGCACCAAATCAGTTTTTTGTTTCTGTCAGAACCCGAAGCCGACACACACACACACAGAAATGAGAAAATTATTGTTATGAATCACAATTCATACGAGGGTTCGTCTCACCCTTCATAGTCACACAAAATCCCGTTTGATTCAGCACAAAAGTTGCAGCTGCCGATTACGATCTCATCGCTTTCGCTTCTACTTGAAGGGTTTTGCTTTGCAGACACTTTTAATATGTGTGAATGCATTCGACGAACGTCTTTTTACAACTTCTTGAACATTTCTTTACACCAGACGACGAGACTTTATGAATGAAGTTCACCTTACAAGGAAGTTCATTCGATCGTCAGGTGCAAGTGGTTGGCATGAGTGTGAGGGGAGCAACTCGATTCTTTGAACATCTGGAGTTGAATTCTTAAAGAAAATGATCAAAGAAGTGAACCAAAAGCGTGTTAAGGAAGTGCAGGAAAGATCAACAAGTGTCTTGATGTCCTTGACATCGAAAATAGAAAATCTTCGTTTTTTGTACTGCGATGGCGCAGCAGAACAAAAGCAACAGAGCGCCAAAGAATTTCGGCTTCATGCATCACGCATCAACATTTCCACTGAATCATCATCGCTATTTTTACTTCCTTTAACTTGACGTTAAGTGATTAAAAAATCTCATTAATATAATATAAACATAATGTATTCAAAAAAAAAGAAAATCAATAACAAAACGTGAATTTCTATTTGAATAATTAAATTTCATAGGGAAATCATTCATTAAAAGTTTTTCAATTATTAATGAGAAGTTCGCATGTGTAATTAATTCAAGAATTTTGTGAAAATTCCAATGACATAACATATTAATTCACTGTTTCAAAAGCTGTTTATGAAATTCCAGGTGCATTAAATTTATGTGGACGAAGATCGATCTTCATCACATCAAATGAAAGTATAAATGAATCATAATTCCAAACTTTTCCCCTCAATTCTTTCATATCAACTCACTCATACACACAGAAACATTTCATGTAAGGAATTCTCTTTGTGGAATTATCCAATGATTTTGCGTACTAAGCACCGCCTTTGACTGCCACGTGTCTCAGGCAACTCACTTCAAATTGTTTTGCATTTACACATTCACCACCCGGCTGAATTAACATACAGAAAGGGTTCGACATCAACCATAAAGCTCGAGTTTCTATATTGCTGGTGAAATGAAAGGTGATGGAACTTGATGAGGGTTCAACGAATATGAGTAAAAGAAAACTAGTTTTTGCCATTAAATATTACAAAACTTAATATCTCCTTTTTTAATTATTCCATAAAAAATATTTCCCTTCATTCTTTTTGTGTATGTGAGAAATCTTTGCATGATTCAGTTGCGAGGGTTGCAAATGAAGTTTGGAATAGAAAAGCTGAAAACTATCGAAATTCACTCGACCGCAACATCACGTCCTGGATACTTTGAAGCTTGTAGCGTGAAAATGTTTTCATTGTCTCCAAGCTGCCGAGTTGTCGCTGATTTTAAAATGTTATGGAAATGTAGCGCGTGGTGCTTTAATTAGGGGTTGCACAACACATGCGTTTGCATAAATTTCCTTGCCTATCTTTTCGACTGTTGTTGATGTGGAAAATCATTATAAAAAATATATTGTGTTACATGATTCTAAGATTATAGAGTACTCATTAAATGTTTTATTAGCTTCATGACAAACCATTCAATTTTATTTCACAACGAACCTCCTTTTTGAAGTTGAAAAAATGTCATTTATGATTAGCATTCAAGTCATTATGAATTTTTTATGAAAATGTCATTGAGAAAGAATTTTTGATTAAATTATTGATGAGTTGTAAAGATTTTTTTTATTAAATTAAGCAATTTAATGTGGTTAATTATTCCTTTTCTTTACTAAGCCATTTCTATTAAATCAAAAGAACAGAACTTCAAGTTGCTACATAAGAAGTTTATTTATTTTTGCCAATTATTAAACATTAAGCCACGCGACTAATTTATCTCATTAATTGAAAGTAATATCTTGAAAACATTGAATTAGAGAGATCAACATATTGGTTTTCAAAACAATTCTTATAAATAAATTTTGAAAGCATTTGGTGAATTTGATTTCGTGACGTTATCAAAACATATTTTTGGAATCGTCAGGAATTATTCAATGGAATGACTGCTTTGGAAAATTCTGTGGTGTGCTGGAGTGTATGAATAAAGAGAAAGATTCAATAAATTTTATTCACAAATACATTCTTCGCTCTTTGTTATTTCTATTGTTATTTTATCATGCTTCGAGGGTTGATTTCACCCTCTGCAATTTAAGTTACTGTTATTTATCATAGTTTGTTTTGCTTTTATATTCTGTTTGATGATTCAACTTTATATTTAAAAGCTGCATCTGCCTTTGTTTACTTTCAGATTTCTGTAGATTTACTTCAATGGTGTTGACACTTTTCTTTAAGTTTCTATTTATGAATTTTTTTTTAAAAAGAAATCTGCGCGATGATCGATTTTTTACTTTTCAAGCCAATTATTCTCATACTTTATGAAAAAAATATTTAATTTATTAGTATGATGTTCGTTAAGGAAGTTTTAGTTGTAGCAATGCAATGCAACAAGAGTGTCTTAATAATTTTAAGTAATTATCAAAACATCTCACTTGTGATATAAAAAATATCAACCAACTTTCAATGAGTCATCTGACTTTCCTTACTGAGATATGTCATTTTAACGTCATTTCATTATTGTTTTCTACCTCAAAAAGTTTCATTTATTTTCATAGCTTTGATGATCATAACAAATTTGAAAACATCAAATTAAAAAAGTCAACATGAAATTAAAGTCTTTGTTGATGTCGTTTAAATAATTTCAGCATCATTTCCAATGTTTTTTTCATCAGAGATCCATTTGATGAGTGACCTAGCTGTATCTGGACCAATCCAAATTATAGCCATTATGAAAGCCTCAAAGAATCCAATAAATACTCCGCCTACTACATCAAGGATGTGATGACGGTAGAGAAGCAACCTAGAATTAATTACTAAGTTTAGAGTTCTGATGTTTAAATTGCGAAACTTTTACTTACCTTGAAATGCAAATCGAAAACCACCAAGCAAAGAGTGGTGGCCAAACGAAATAAGAAAATGGAAACAGGCATGTGAAGAATCCTAGAAGTAAACTAGCTCGAGATGCATGGCCACTTGGAAAAGAGTAAACATCAGGACCAATGCAGAATGGATCATCATTCACGGATGGTCGACGTCGTCTTGCAATTGCTTTGATGATTGCAACAACAAAAATGTCAATAATTAAAGCCATGAAGAGGTTGACTTGCATTTGATAGAGATCCTTGTTATCAAACATATATGTGAAAGCTATGAGTCCAGCTAACCAAACGATTCCATGACAAGACCATTCTAAAAACTTGCAATGAGTTTTGAAACTTCGAATTTGAACAAAATTAAGCAAGAACGAAACAAATCTTTTTGTCAATTCTACATCGCGTTTTAAAATATTTTTAAGAAATCCTGGAACTACTCGCTTCTCTCCTTCTAATCGTGTATCAGAATTAATCTAGAAATGAACCATATATGCAAATAAATAATTTGTGATGACTCAGAAATTTCTATTTTGATAATTTCATAAGTTTTGTGATTCTGTCTAAAAAACTTTGAAAAAATCTAATTTTCATGTTAAATACTTACATATGCTGGTCTTCCTGCATTTGCCATTATTTTGTGAGTTAAATACGCAATTAATATTCTACTTTAAATTGATTTTTAGGAACTTTTTTTAGAGAACTTTAAACGTAAACAAACTTCTACGTAATATTCCTCAAAAAAATATCATCAGACCCTCGTTTTAGCGGAACTGATGAACAGTCGGACAAAATAAAACCTACATAGGTAGGCTATTCTATAAAGATAGCATGTGCTTGTTTACAAAACACAAACGATAATAAAATCTTGACTGACCAATGATTAAAATATCAGACAAGGAAGAACTTTTAGCAAAAAATCCTCGACGTGTGAAATATGCAACATGATTTTCCCATTTATAACATTTATAGAGCATGCAGTTATTATGAGACATTGGTGAATTCAAGTTTTATGAACTTGATGATTATTTACTCATTTACATTTGTTTAACATTCTTTCAGCTACAATTTTAAGATAAACTTACTAGGAAAACGCCAGTTTCCAAAGACACATATAATCGTCTTCATCACGATAATTCTCTCGAAGATGAAACGCAAATAAATTTTACAGAGAAAGAAAAGAAGAAAGATGACATTCAGTATCTAAGTTTATTATAATTGGATTAGATAGATTCTAGGTACTTTGAATATTTCTTTGA